GTGCTCCAGTTCCCTGAATTAAGCCTGAAGCCTTCCATCCCCCCATAGGCGCTGTATAATCCTACGGGTTTAGTGCTTCCCCCTTGATTATAATAATAATAATAATCGGTCCTGTGACCTTGATCACTTATGCATATATACTGCCTTTGTAACATCTGTGTTAGAAGTGATCAAGGTTCCAGGACCAAAATGTTTTCTAATATGTCCCAGTGTTTACTCACGTGTCTTTCTAAACCATAATTGTTTTACGGAGTCTTACGGCGTTTTACAGCGTCTTACAGCGTTTTACAGCGTCTTACGGCGTTTTACACCGTCTTACGGCATTTTACAGCGTCTTACGGCGTTGTACAGCTAGTCTGCACGACCCCAGTCATCCTACAGCAGTACCTGCTGGTCTGCACGACCCCAGTCATCCTACAGCAATACCTGCTGGTCTGCACGACCCCAGTCATCCTACAGCAGTACCTGCTGGTCTGCACGACCCCAGTCATCCTACAGCAGTACCTGCTGGTCTGCACGACCCAAGTCATCCTACAGCAGTACCTGCTGGTCTGCACGACCCCAGTCATCCTACAGCAGTACCTGCTAGTCTGCACGACCCCAGTCATCCTACAGCAGTACCTGCTGGTCTGCACGGCCCCAGTCATCCTACAGCAGTACCTGCTGGTCTGCACGACCCCAGACATCCTACAGCAGTACCTGCTGGTCTGCACGACCCAAGTCATCCTACAGCAGTACCTGCTGGTCTGCACGACCCGTCATCCTACAGCAGTACCTGCTGGTCTGTACGACCCCAATCATCCTCCTGCGGTAGACCACCTCCGACGCCTCCACCACCATCCTGTCCCCAGGTATGGCCCAGTCGCTGGTTCCCGACGAGTACTTACTGGAAGACAGCAAATGTCATTAACTAGGTATCTACGTATTATTTTTTTTTTTTCAGAAAAGAAATGGAGAGTATTTTTTAAAGTTATGTAAAAAAAATGATGTGAAAAAATTAACTCAACCGAAGGACTAAAAAAAGTATAACTTCATATGTTTCACATCTATTGTGTTTGAAAATAACAGTAAACAACACACGTGAACATCAGTGATAAAATCGACACCATGCCTAACCCTTCTAGGGTAGGGTAGGTGCCTGAGTCCGAGCATTTAGCTCATAAGACTGTCATTCCCATTTGCCCCCTTGGGGCGGGGATGGCAGACCAGAGAGGCCTAGCTTGTGGCTAGGCTTGGGGACAGTTGGTCCCAAAGATGAGGAGGTACTTGTGCCTCCTCCCATGGGAGACTTAGGTCTCAGACACTCCCTAAAGAGGGAGCCAAGGCCGGGCCACCACTTGGAAAAGGCCCGGGCCGGGAGAATACCGGCTAATCTTTAACTAACTAACTAATCAGTGATAAAATTAACAACAACCAATATTACGATTTAAAGTCTGTTACGCTAAATTAAAATAACTAACTTCAGTAAGAAAATACACAAATAACCCGCATATTGGAGAGAGAAACTTAACACAATGTTCTGGTCCGACTTGGACTACTGACAGTCACACTGGCCAGTATATATAGGCGAGGGAGACGGGGACGGGAATAATAGAGAAGACAGAGAAATACTGATAGTGGTAATGTTGGTAGTAGGAGTGGTAGAAAGTGGCACAAGAGATAGAAAGGGGGAGTGAAGGGTGAAGAGAGGAAATAGAAGTTGAAATAGCAAAAGTAGTAGTAATGTAGTAGTAGTAGTAATAGTAGTAATAGTAGTAGTAGTAGTAGTAGTAGTAGTAGTAGTAGTAGTAGTAGTAGTAGTAATAGTAGTAGTAGTAATAGTAGTAGTAGTAGTAGTAGTAGTAGTAGTAGTAGTAATAGTAGTAGTAGTAGTAGTAGTAGTAGTAGTAGTAGTAGTAGTAGTAGTAGAAGTGGGGTAAGTACAAGTCAGAGCGAAACGTCGTGGTAAGCTTCCCTCTCCCCTATGTGCAGGTTATTTATGCATTGTTTCCTTCACGGTATTGTGTCTTTTTGTTCTTTAGTAAGAAAATATCCAAATAAATATCTAAAGAATAAGTTCCTCGAGTTTCTTACAGTCACCGCCATACTGATGGTCATGACATGTATGTAGACCTCAGTCGTAGGCATAGTTAAAATGTGTTCCACAGTTAGTTGCACGCTACAAGCTACACAGCTGCACGCTACAAGCTACACAGCTGCACTCTACAAGCTACACAGCTGCACGCTACAAGCTACACAGCTGCACTCTACAAGCTACACAGCTGCACGCTACAAGCTACACAGCTGCACGCTACAAGCTACACAGCTGCACTCTACAAGCTACACAGCTGCACGCTACAAGCTACACAGCTGCACGCTACAAGCTACACAGCTGCACGCTACAAGCTACACAGCTGCACGCTACAAGCTACACAGCTGACGCTACAAGCTACACACTGCACTCTACAAGCTACACAGCTGCACTCTACAAGCTACACAGCTGCACGCTACAAGCTACACAGCTGAACGCTACAAGCTACACAGCTGCACGCTACAAGCTACACAGCTGCACGCTACAAGCTACACAGCTGCACGCTACAAGCTACACAGCTGCACGCTACAAGCTACACAGCTGCACTCTACAAGCTACACAGCTGCACGCTACAAGCTACACAGCTGAACGCTACAAGCTACACAGCTGCACGCTACAAGCTACACAGTGCACGTACAAGCTACACAGCTGACGCTACAAGCTACACAGCTGCACGCTACAAGCTACACAGCTGCACCTACAAGCTACACAGCTGACCACAACTACACAGCTGACGCTACAAGCTACACAGCTGAACGCTACAAGCTACACAGCTGCACGCTACAAGCTACACAGCTGCACGCTACAAGCTACACAGCTGAACGCTACAAGCTACACAACTGCACGCTACAAGCTACACAGCTGAACGCTACAAGCTACACAGCTGAACGCTACAAGCTACACACTGACGCTACAAGCTACACAGCTGAACGCTACAAGCTACACAACTGCACGCTACAAGCTACACAGCTGCACGCTACAAGCTACACAGCTGAACAAGCTACAAGCTACACAGCTGCACGCTACAAGCTACCACAGCTGCAGCTACAGCTACACAGCTGACGCTACAAGCTACACAGCTGCACTCTACAAGCTACACAGATGCACGCTACAAGCTACACAGCTGAAAGCTACAAGCTACACAACTGCACGCTACAAGCTACACAGCTGCACGCTACAAGCTACACAGCTGCACTCTACAAGCTACACAGATGCACGCTACAAGCTACACAGCTGAAAGCTACAAGCTACACAACTGCACGCTACAAGCTACACAGCTGCACGCTACAAGCTACACAGCTGAACGCTACAAGCAACACAACTAAACGCTACAAGCTACACAGATGCACGCTACAAGCTACACAACTGAACGCTACAAGCTACACAGATGCACGCTACAAGCTACACAGCTGAACGCTACAAGCTACACAGCTGCACGCTACAAGCTACACAGTGAACGCTACAAGCTACACAGCTGCACGCTACAAAGCTACACAGCATGCACGCTACAAGCTACACAGCTGCACGCTACAAGCTACACAGCTGCACGCTACAAGCTACACAGATGCACGCTACAAGCTACACAGCTGCACGCTACAAGCTACACAGCTGAACGCTACAAGCTACACAGCTGAACGCTACAAGCTACACAGCTGCACGCTACAAGCTACACAGCTGAACGCTACAAGCTACACAGCTGCACGCTACAAGCTACACAGCTGAACGCTACAAGCTACACAGCTGAACGCTACAAGCTACACAGCTGAACGCTACAAGCTACACAGATGCACGCTACAAGCTACACAGCTGCACGCTACAAGCTACACAGATGCACGCTACAAGCTACGCAGCTGAACGCTACAAGCTACACAGCTGAATGCTACAAGCTACACAGATGCACGCTACAAGCTACACAACTGAACGCTACAAGCTACACAGATGCACGCTACAAGCTACGCAGCTGAACGCTACAAGCTACACAGCTGAACGCTACAAGCTACGCAGCTGAACGCTACAAGCTACACAGATGCACGCTACAAGCTACACAGCTGAACGCTACAAGCTACACAGCTGAACTGTAGACAGCCTGTACTGTCTGCACAGACAGCCCATGCTGTCTGCCAGCTTAGTTCATATTTCGCGCTATGCTGGTGCTGCCACCTAGGCCTTGCCACTTCAGTATGCCCAGACTTGCCTCGCTCTCACTCACACAGCGGCCTAGCAGCAAGACACAAGGCCTCCCAGCTCTCTCTCGTGGGATGGCCCTGCCCGGGCCATGGGCACAAACACACAAGCCTGTGTAACCCACAACGACTTAACAATAAACAAAGAAGCCTCCGAAGAAGGATATATCATTAACACCGCTCTACAGCCTACCAAACAGCCTTCGTAATAAATGGTGACAGCGGTGCTTGCAGGAGTTGTGTTTGCCCCGCGAAGGAGGAAGAGGTATGAAGTCATCTTCACTTCATCACCCTACACAAGAAGCATCCGTCTCCCAACAAGTTATCCTGATGTCGTGTCTGCACGTTTGAGCATCCAGACACAGATACTAGCAGGATCCAGCCGAAATTTGCCGAAATTCTCCGAGAATTGTAAGTGGCGTCCCAGTGACCCCACGCTGTTTCTCAAGTCACGTGTTCAGCGTCACTTGTATGTTGCTGTTGTTGTTCAGCTCAGCACAGCTGTTTCAGCAAGCCAGAGGTGAGTTTTGTGGTGATTTCTGCGTCCAGTGTGAGCTTCTCCACGTGTTTGTGGGTGGAGGAGGAGGAGGAATGGCCAGATGCCCGCCCTGCCATACACTCACGCACGCTCCTCGCCACCACACTACCATACACTCACCACTGCCCACTCCCTCTGCTGTGTTTTCTGCTGTTTTTCGTATGAATTCATTGCCAGTGCTGTGTATCCGAGTGCCCGAGGCCACTCGAAGCTACGTGGATTACGACGTCACGTGGGTGTGGGCGATGTCACGTAGACCTACAAAGCCACGTGAGTTACCAGATGTCCCAAGGCCACATGCTGTGGTCTGCTGCCCGCATCACATCGACGCCACCCATGATGCTGCCCGACTTCATGACGTCACGATGTCTGTTGACGTCACCTCACGATGTCTGCCTGACGTCACCTCGAGATGTCTGCCTGACGTCACCTCGAGATGTCTGCCTGACGTCACCTCGAAATGTCTGCTGACGTCACCTCGAGATGTCTGCTGACGTCACCTCGAGATGTCTGCTGACGTCACCTCGAGATGTCTGCTGACGTCACCTCGAGATGTCTGCTGACGTCACCTCGCGACATCACGCCTGACATCACATGATGTCAACATCGAGTGTTTCTAGTAATTATTTCAGTATTGTCGAGAAGATTGAGAGAAGATATATGTCGTGTGTTAATTAATTCCTCTCAGTCAGTGTTCTCACATTTTAGTATGTCTTAGTGTCAGTTTTGTGCACAGAAAAGCATCATTTGCTAGTTAAGCCATGTTGTACCGTATGTACAGCGGTGTGTTTGTAAGTTTTCCGTGTGTCCAGTGAGGTCTGTGGTCAGACCCTTGAGTTGCACCACTGTGCTGTCACCCGCGTGACCAGTGTTTGACAGCTGATTACTCAGCCCCGAGTGACCGAGCCCTCTTGTACAGAAAGCTTTTATGCTCGTCGCTCATGATGTTCTGTAGAATCGTACCTGCTACGATTCCCATCGAGATTTGTTTCACTTCACCTCCAGACCTTCAGAGTGCAGTTATATGTAGAGAAACAAGTCTGGGGACGCTTAGACTAACCTCTGCTATAACTCCAACTGTCGAGAGATGATACTCGTCAAGCCGCAGCCAGGCCTGTCGGCAGGCGCTGTGTCAGCCTCGTGTCACAAGCTTCAGTGAGCAGCCTGCACAAAGAAGATGTCACTTTGACTGCTAGCTCTCTCACTCCAGTCTGGTGTATGATGTTACGACTCCCAGATGTTTCGCCCAGTCGTCTCTGCCACGACTCGCTCCACGCTCGCCGGCAGTGACAGCCCAGCGACAGTACCAGCCGAGAAGTGTCCTCCTGAGTCGCTTGCCAGAAGTCCTGCCCAGTTGCCGAGTTTTGTCGACGCCTCACTCGAGGGCACCAGCATGTCGTGCCCCAGGTTGAGTGAAAACCTGCAGCGACTCCTACGATGTCTGCTTCACTGTTCCAGAGGAGACCGTACCCTGTTACGTCACAGCTCAGCCGCAGCGATGTCTCCCGTGTTGCAGTATCTGTCCAGACGCAGGAAGGCATGCAGTGATGCCCTTCGACGCTCACTGCCTATGACCACGATGTTTAGCACACCCCGCATGTTTTTTTTTTCCCTCCCTGTAGGAAGTTTTTTTTTCCCATGTCCATATGTATATATATGTTCTTATTTTGTGTTCTGTGCCCTGTTCCTACGAGAGAGAGACCGAGTTTCTTTTACTACCAGTATTGTTGCGTCGGGACGACGCGCGGTAGGTGGCCGAGCGTATGTAGACAGCCTGTACTGTCTGCACAGACAGCCCATGCTGTCTGCCAGCTTAGTTCATATTTCGCGCTATGCTGGTGCTGCCACCTAGGCCTTGCCACTTCAGTATGCCCAGACTTGCCTCGCTCTCACTCACACAGCGGCCTAGCAGCAAGACACAAGGCCTCCCAGCTCTCTCTCGTGGGATGGCCCTGCCCGGGCCATGGGCACAAACACACAAGACAGTACAGGCTGTCTACAGAACGCTACAAGCTACACAGCTGAACGCTACAAGCTACACAGATGCACGCTACAAGCTACACAGCTGAACGCTACAAGCTACACAGCTGAACGCTACAAGCTGCATGCTACAGGCTACACAGCTGAACGCTACAAGCTACACAGCTGAACGCTACAAGCTACACAGATGCACGCTACAAGCTACACAGCTGCACGCTACAAGCTACACAGCTGAACGCTACAAGCTACACAGTGAACGCTACAAGCTGAGCTAAGCTACACAGCTGAACGCTACAAGCTACACAGCTGAACGCTACAAGCTACACAGATGCACGCTACAAGCTACACAGCTGCACGCTACAAGCTACACAGCTGAACGCTACAAGCTACACAGCTGAACGCTACAAGCTACACAGCTGAACGCTACAAGCTACACAGCTGAACGCTACAAGCTACACAGCTGAACGCTACAAGCTACACAGCTGAACGCTACAAGCTCACAGCTGACGCTACAAGCTACACAGCTGCACGCTACAAGCTACACAGCTGAACGCTACAAGCTACACAGATGCACGCTACAAGCTACACAGCTGAACGCTACAAGCTACACAGCTGAACGCTACAAGCTACACAGCTGAACGCTACAAGCTACACAGCTGAACGCTACAAGCTACACAGATGCACGCTACAAGCTACACAGCTGAACGCTACAGGCTACACAGTGACGCTACAAGCTACACAGAGCTGAAGCGTACAACTACACAGTGCAAGCTTCAAGCTACACAGCTGACACACTAAAGCTAGCTGAGCTACAAGCTACACAGCTGAACGCTACAAGCTACACAGCTGAACGCTACACGCTACACAGATGCACGCTACAAACTATAGAGTTAGCTGTAAGCTACAGGCTACACAGTGGGGGTAGAAGCACCTTCAAACAGGTAGCTATGGGAAAGATATGCGAGCCTAATCCTCAGCCAACAGTTGTCTCAAAGTGGCTTGCTGATGGAGGAAGGCCAGGCCCCTATGTACAGGCAAACCTTGTATAACTTGCTTCTTGTCTATAGGGTCCACCGGGATCACCACTTCCCAACTTGGATTCTACTTGGAGGGTATTCCGGGGATCAACGCCCCCGCGGCCCGGTCCACGACCAGGCCTCCCGGTCGCGGACCCGCTGCCGGATCGGCCCGGCTGATCCGGCATGGACTTTAAGTATCTGTCCAGCTCCCTCTTGAAAGCAGCTAGGGGCCTATTGGTAATTCCTCTTATGCCTGGTGGGCGGCTGTTGAAGAGTATTGGGTAAGTAAGTAAGTTTATTCAGGTATACACAAATACAGTTTCATAGAATTATCATATATAGCAGCATATGTGTAGAGAACCTAGGATAACCCAAAAAAAGTCAGACAGAGTGACTTGTTTCCATTGGGGCCCCGGACACTTACGTGTTTTCTCTTAGTGTACCAATGGCGCCCCTACTTTTCATTGGGGACATTTTGCATCACCTGCCAAGTCTTTTACTTTCGTAGGGAGTGATTTCTGTGTGCAGATTTGGGACCATCCCTTCTAGAATTTTCCAAGTGTAGATTATGATATATCTCTCTCGCCTGAGTTCCATCGAGTACAAGTCATGTGCTTCCAAGCGTTTCCAGTAGTCGAGGTGTTTGATGGAACTTATATGTGCAGTAAAGGTTCTCTGTACACTCTCTAGATCTGCAGTTCACCTGCTTTGAACGGAGATGTTAACGTGCACCAATATTCCAGCCTAGAGAGAACAAGTGATTTGACAAGGATCATTATTGGCTTGGCATCTCTTGTTTTGAACGTTCTTATTATCCATCCTATCATTTTCTCTGCAGTTGTGATCGTAGCACTGTTGTGATCCTTGAAAGTGAGATCCTCAGACATTACCACTCCCAGGTCCCTTACATTATTTTTCCGCTCTAAGTATACGCAACCCATGAAGTGACCAAGGCAGAATGATCGCCTTTTTAATACTGACTCACCCCCTCTTCCCCACACACACGTATAGTAGTAACTAGTGAAGAAGCGGGCCCAGGAGCTATGAATCGGCCCCTGCAACCACAATTACGTGAGTACATACATTCGTAAACGGAAGACGAACATCACTCACCAATACTTGGAGAGCGGACACCCGACCAGGTACAGCACCTGCCATTCCTTTCCTGGTGGTCCTGGGACGTGTGCACAACTGTGGGAGGTCAGGTGGGCGTGAGCATCGCGGAGGTTGAGGCAGTGAGCGTGATGGGTGAGGGCGTGGGAATATGGGCGGACTCTGAGGCGTAGGACGCCCTCGTACAGTTCCTTCACCTCCTGGTCCTCCGTACCAAGACACTAATTCAAACGAGAAATTTGAATGCAACAGTTATGTAGAGGGAAGTAATGTACATGGAAATATGTTTAGGTAACAATTCCAGCATCGTCCAAATGTATTAGCTATCCCTTCCAATACAAAACTTATCAGATGTAAACAGAATTAGAAGCTTGTAATATGTAATAGATGGGACGCTCAGAATGACCATGAGTAAGTATGAGTTCATTAAAATCACCCGAAAAGAAAATCTCAATGTGGGTAGAATAATTCACAAACAATACGCACTTAGGAGTGGAAACTGTCCTCTCCTAAGTACGGGTTATTTGTGAATGTGAGGAATCTCTCGTAATGACCAAGACTATGATCAAGGAGCACTTACCGCCTGCATAATATAGAAGCTGTTGTACTGGTCTGAGCGGCTTACTACCCCTAGGTACAGCACAAAGGGGCCAGTCTGTACAACAGTGTGTGTTAACATCTCATTGTCTATGTCCACCTCTTCTCTATACTATTCTACTTCCTTGTTACGTATATGGAAAACAGCTCTTAAGTTGTTTTTTTTAACTACCACTCTCTGTATTATGAAACTAACAGGATAGGAAGTAATGCGTAATTATATTCTGATAATCTTAACATCATAGCCCTAACTGAAACAAGACTCAAAACTACATGTAACCACCTGTTATCCTCTTTTTGCATATTCGGATATAACTTCTACACTATGTTTGCAAAAAAAAAAATACTCTAATGAATCATTCACCAATAGCACGGATAATAATAAGATTAAGTCCAATATCCCTCCTTCTGGTATAGCATAAAATATATACATGCATCATGAGTCTTGTCGTACCATGTTGGTGGGGAGGATATGCGTGTGGCAAGGATGGTCCCGAAGGTGAATCTTAGTGGCCTCACGAATTTCATTCTCCATCCATTTAGAGTAGTTTTGGCTGACTAACCTGTTAATATTAATCTGTAATAATTTCCACGTCATGTTACAGACACAAAAAAAAAATAGGTAAAAATTGACCAATGCAAAACAAAAGTAGTGATTTAAAGAAGAGAGGTAACACCTGACTTTATAGACTTCTCATAAGTTAACAGAAACGATAAATACAGTACTGACAGGAGGATACCAACACTGAGGAATGAAGTTGGGGCAATAGAAAAAAAGCTTAGTGTATTAAGAATTAGTGGAGTCCCGAGGAGTTGTATAGGTTGATGATTACATAACATAATCACTCTTGGGGAGATCTACAGTAGTAGTAGTAATGTACAACTTATCAAGGAGGAAAAGAGTGAGACAGCAGTATGAGATAACTTGGTCATGGTACACACACTACAGAGGGAGTGGTAAGGCGAGACAACAGTGCCATAACAAAACTAATCATGGGAGATTCCAGCTATAATGAGAGAGACTGGGAGCTAAACTGATGGAGGCACTAATGAAACATTTATTTACCAACTTGTCAAAGAGTAGATAAATCACAAAAATTGTAACAGGTTATGACCTTAAATGTATCAGACATAGGAGAAATAGACTGTGGGATTATTACTAGTTGTCAACATCCATCCAGTCTTACTCTCGACTTACTTAGCGAAAGTGAATCTAGAGAGGAGCTGAGGAAGGCCAGCAAAAAACAAAATAGAAAAGTACAGAAGAGAGAAAAAATACAAGGATAAAAGACTTCCTGAATGCAAGTCATTGCAAAAGGCAAATTGAGACAAAGAACAATGAACGAGATTGAGAATGTTGACAGGAAGTTCAGAGGCAGTGGTGAAAGTCATACTTAAAAAAAGTATAAACGCCAGAAATGAATACACAATGGTACGAAGAGAGGCAGAGAGAAAATAAGAGATACGAAATAAAAATTTCAAAATTAATTGTGTAAATATAAATATGTAATGAAACACATTATACAGCTTAGCGTAATGGCCTCATAACTTGCCATTTTCTTTAAGAGATACTGTCAACATAATGACTGGTTTAAACGTTGGTAATTGATGCCGACAAATTGGTTAAGCAAAACGCGTGAGCAGACACTAGGATCAAGGTCCCAGGACCGAAACGTTTTCTAATAAATGTCCTAGTGTTTGTTCACGTGTCTTTCTAAACCACTATAATAACTCTCCCCAGCGTCCCTACACCAGGCACCCACCTGTACACGCCCCGCAAGGTGGCGTCTGGGTCGCGATTGACAAGTCTGCCGCTGAAGAAGAGGTACTGTTCCCAGCCAGTGACGTGAGCCCCAGCAGACCCAGCATGTGCTGTGCGGGAGACCTCGGGTACCACAGCACTCAGTCCTCCTCTTACACCCTCAGTGAACAACCACCAGTCCCAGTCCACGCCTCTCTGCAGGCAGCCGAGTAATATGATAAAAGTACACTATATACGGTATACAGTACTCGCGGTTGCAACACGGGTATACTAAGATAAAAAAAAATATTATACTATTTTAAAGCGATACACCAATGTGGTTCTTTCAGTACGAGGTTGTGGAGGCTCGATCCTCCATTCATTAATTTTGATATATACTAATTGCACTCAGCTAAGGTCGAGAAAGGGAGAGATTATGATTATTATTACATTCAGGGTAAAGTGTCCAAAGAATGGAAGAATAGCAACTCCACTCCCATGGATAAAAAAACCCTTCACCAGCATCAAGCCACCCTCCTCGTAAAGATTTACACCCTGGATCAGAAGGAAGGAAGGCCGAACTGACCCCGGGAGGTACCCAGAGTGTGAGCACGTACTGCACCCAGCGCCGGCACGTCATCCAGCCGTACTGCGGGTACATCTCCGCCCGCAGCACCACAGACGATTCCTTAGCAGTGTTGGGGTAGGAGTTCTGGCCGAAGGCATTCACCAGGTACAGTGTCGGGTCCATAGTGAGTGCTGGTGCTGCCTGGTGGAAGTACCTGGGAGAATGTTGCAGACTTGAGAGACCATGGGAGAGTTGGAGAGACTGAGGAAGAGGTGCAAGGATTGAGAAAGAATTGTAAGGACTGAGGGAAAGTTGCAAGGACTGATGAAGAGTTGCAAGGACTGAGAGAAAGGTGCAAGGACTGAGGAAGACTTGCAAGGAGTGAGGAATAGTTCCAAGGACTGAGGAAGAGTTGCAAGGACTGAGGGAAAGGTGCAAGGACTGAGGGAAAATTGGAGAGACTGAGGAAGATGTGTATACAGTAATCGATCAGTTCTCTTCTGTTGTTTTTATAGCTAATATTCATAGTATAAAATTTCAAGGATAATATAACCTGAAAATAGAGGCTACTGACCCCAGATACTTGTAAGATGATTTTTAACGGAAAAAAAATAATGTAGGCGATTGAACTGGTTAAAAACTAAAGAATTTGAACTAAATTTTACATAAAAATTTAAAACCGTGACACAGATCACTGGACCTAGGTGATGAGAGCTGCAACTCACAAATAAGCTAAAGAAAATTAATATATACTTTATATGGAGCTACCCTCACTTTCCTTGAAACAAACTTCATTGCTACTCATTACTCAGGCGTCGTAGGTAGCTTTTGGATTTGTTTTCCCGTGAATATAATAATTATAATAATAAATGCTACATTTCTTTGCAATATAATTCGCTGCCTCGTTAAACAGCTCTGCATTGCACTAAGATTAAAATAACCTGAACTGACCTGAGGAGGTCCGGGGCAAGGATGAGGTCATCCTCAAGCAAGATGACCTTGTCGACATGTGGCCAGCGATCCAACACGGTCTGCAGGGCGAAGGCGATGTTGGTGTTGGTCCTGGGGAGAACATCACCAAGACACTGTGTGACTGGCTGCAGTGACCTTGAAACACGACTGAGACTTGTTTAGATTTTGCGTGATGTAATTTATCATCATTATTAACATTAATGTAACTGAGATTCGTGATATAATTATAGCTGTTTTGCTGTAACTTACGATACACACAAATATTAGATGTCCATGAAGGAGGACCTTCAGTAGTTGCCTGAACTTTGTTCTTTTTAAATTTCCCAAGTCTAATGAACGTTAAATACTGCACCGTGTAATGCCGGAGCCATTCATCTGGTAACTTCAGTTTTCTCATACCATCTAAGGTCTTCGTTTATAACTTCAGAACGCCTCATCCAGATTTCAGATTTCAAACCCTGGGTCAACTACTATTAGGTGAAGGTTCGTGGAGCAACTGACATGTGCAGGTGCAGGTACAGGTGCAAGTGCAGGTGCAGGTGCAGGTGCTCAGTGGTGTTGCTAGGGTTGGTGTCACCCGGGGCGGCCCGCCCCTCTTGCGACGCCACTGCAGGTGCTCTCTGCTCAATATAGACCATTCCCGAAACTGATTTCCCCGAGATTGCTTTAAAGATCCTCTTTGTCTTCACAATTACAAGTATCGCCCAGTGTGTGTTATTTGGCTTTAGATTTAAATATATGCACAGATGTTACAAGGTTTTACACAAGTGTTATACAGGTATTATACAGGTATTACATGAGTAAAAAACATCAATGCCCGTTCTCTGACATAAATATTTTATTAATTATAGTTTCCCATAGCGAGTACGCAAAAAGCATTTATTAAAGTACTCGTCTGCATGACCCTTGGAAAATCCTAGAGGGATTAGTACCAAACTTGTACACGAAAATCACTCCCTATGAACGCAAAAGACTCGGCAGGAGATGCAACATTTTCCCAATGAAAAGCAGGGGCGCCACGAGTTCACTGAGAAATAACACAGTAAGTGTCAGGGGCGCAAGACTGTTCAACTGCCTCCCAGCATACATAAGAGGGATTACCAATAGACCCCTGGCTGTCTTCAAGAAGACGCTGGACAGGCACCTAAAGTCAATACCTGACCAGCCGGGCTGTGATTTGTACGTCAGTTTGCGTGCGGCCAGCAGTAACAGCCTGGCTAATCAGACCTTGATCCACCACGAGGCCTAGTCTCAGACCGGGCCGCGGGGGCGTTGACCCCCGAAACCCTCTCCAGGTATATGTTAAATTATGTATGATAATTGTACATCTGTGTACCTGTACCTAAATAAACTTACACACAAAGCTCCAAGTAAATACACGATACCACAGATATTGTAACTTGTTGGTCATGACATGAGAATTAATAATTAGAACATCAAGGTAAGAATGATTACTTTCTGTTTCCAACTGTATTTGATGTGCACTCTTTGTATAGAAATACATGATGAATGAAATACAGCTTTGTAAATGTCGTGTACATAAGTACACCAGTGTGGTCTTACCTGGTGTTCTCTCCAGGAGGTCCCTGAGGGTAGTGGACGATGGTGTGTATAAGGAAGAGGTTGGTTAATTGCAGTGTCTCCTGGTGTGGACCATCTACAATCACCACCACTTTAGTCTTCCCTGAACCAGCCACACGCTTCAGATTCTTTAATAGTCTACCAGGAAGAAAAAAAAAAGAACTATCCAATGACTAACTAATATAAGTTGTATCCAGCATCGCCGTTTCAGTGACATGAGTGAATCCTATCGTGGGACTAAACTGAATCCATTATTTGCATAAACGAATCAATCATTCACCATTACTAGGATTATTGACTCATAATTTGTAAATAGTTTACTACTAGTATAATTGCTTAGTTGGCAAAATGCAAGGGATATATTTTATATTTTTGCAATCTTTTGACTGCTACCGACAATTTAGTTAGTTTAATATGTTTATTATGCACCCCATACCCATCCTGTGGGCGGTAGTCAAAAGATTACAGAGGTACATAATTGGTCCAGGGACTGGACTCCAAAGTTTTGATAGCTGAGCAAGTTACAGAGGTAATGAACTCACAATTTACAAAGGTAATGAACTCACAATTTACAAAGGTAATGAACTCACAATTTACAAAGGTAATGAACCGACAGGATGGTCATGAAGTGACTATCGCCCAAAGGATGGGTATGTGTTGTTGTTAGTGTGAGTGGTGGTGGTGGGGTTGTTGTTGGTAGCAGTAGTAATCTTACCGGTATAGGTAGTAAGGTTTGTTGGCTGTCACGATGACTACCGGGATGTCTTCACTCATAGCAATACTGGGCTGAAGAAAGGACAAATATTACTAATTATTATTATTATTATAAGTAGTAGTAATAATAATAGTAGGGGGAAGCACAGATCCCATATAAGTCATATAGCTCGCGGGAAATGGAAGGAAATCAGGTTCGATCCAAGGAAGTCGGAAAATAATTCAGTTTCCTTCGATCAAGAGCCCATCACTGGCATCAGTGCACTTTGAGAGGAAGAAACAAATTATGATCATACAGGGTAATTACCGGGAGGTATTGGTTTGATAATGGTCCAGGACGGGCGCTTTAGATCTTTTAAATTGCGCACTACGAATTGCTTATTACGCTTTTTCCTAAAGTCTTGCTATACTCAAAGTGAATACATAATACTCACAACAGTTGATGAAGTTACTGTTGTTATGACTGCTGACAACAGGTAAAATAAGGGTACTTTTCCAGGATTAGATTTTCAGAATGGTGCGGAACTTACTGGTGATGGTTGCTGGGTAGGGAGGTATGGTCGTTCACACCCACACAGGTCACCATAACCTTCATACATCTCACAAAACTCTGCCTGCGCCCGCATCGCCTCAGCCCAGGCATGGCCACACCATCCACCTACAACACCACCACGTACTAAACCAAAAATACTGATATTCAGCTTTATACAATGACTACTTATTGTTTTTGTATTCACTGGGAAATTCTTAGTCCCAAATAAGGGCAGCCCATCCTGATCATCAGAGCACCGTGGATACACATACAATGAAAATCCAGATACCTTCACTTTCCTAAATAAAGACAGCCTACCCTGAGATGTCATCAAAGTACCTTGACAACCCCAATGGAAATAAATCACGTTGTCTTACTTTTTGGGATTATTCTAGGTAATTTACACTATGTATGATGATAATACTTAGGTGTACCTGACTACCCATGTCTAAATAAACTTACTTAGGACCCAGGAAGCTCCACTCACCAAGTAGCATGTCGTCCAAAGTCTCCAAGGAAGATTATTATTATAATCATGGGGAGCGGCTAAATCGTTAGGATTATACTGCGCATTGTGGTGGGGAGGAAAGGTATTCAGGCTCAATTCAGGGAAAAGGAGTACAGATACAATTCCCTAGATCAAGAGCCCCTCACCAGCGTCAAGGAACCTCCCTTGAGGGGCCCAATAATCTACTCCTCCTATACCTACATATATCCATTCTTTCAGTCTTTTGTATCTGCTGAAGAGGACATCTGTTGGAGGTCTAAATAAATAGACAACAATTCCTTGTTGCTTTTGTTTCAAGTATTTTGGTTTTTCTCTTCACTCTATATATACATACTATCTATTAAATATTACGCATGCTATAGTATACTCTTTGTAATATAATATATCAACTTTTGTGGTTACTGAAAACCAAGTTCTTTATTATAATTATTATTATCTATTATTCAAGCTTATAAAAAACGTCTTCACAATATAAAATACAGACCTACCTGCTGGAGCTTTGGGAAGGGTCTACCTGCTAGCAGTACTGTTGGTTGCTGCTCGTTAACTCCGCGTCGCTTACTGTCTCCCTAGGAACCTTGCTGCGACCAGGGTGTGAGGCCACTGGCCTGGCAGAGTGTGACCATTGCCCATGGCTCCCCTGTAGCCATCTGAGGCAGCAGAGCGGCTCCCATTTGAACCAGGGCCTCTCCACCTTCAGGCCAGAGGTATGGTATGAACTCTGGCTGTGGGAAAAAAATAATGGAGGTAAACAAATTGTCTCGATAAAAATAATCACGAAAATCCCAAAATTCACGAGAAACATTGAACGCTGTCTTCAATAGTGTTCTTTAGTGCAGTTGCCGCGGGAGGTAAGATGGAAAAGTGCCTGTGAAACCAGATCAGCCTAAGTCATAAGTAATTAAAAGAATCAAGACAGTACAAGAATATGGCAGCTACACTTGGTGTACAAAGTCTGCCTTTTACAAAAATCCGTAGATAGAATCCGCATTAAAAATATTATTTTTTTTTAGATGGCTAGGGTTAGACGTTTAACTATTTTTTTTTTCAGAATAACATCCACTTCCGTGAGTAAGACACAGTGATCAGGGAACAGTGAACCCAACATCTCAGCTGAGACCTTCTATGTATATCTCTTGAGACGTGAATCACTGCCCTGCTAGTAAGGTTGTGAATGGACTCGATTAGGATATTGATGGGGGAGGAACAAGGCTGTGCTCAGTGCCCACTCACGCTCTCCACTTTCATATCCTGTTTTTCACATACTCTCTCAACCCACACTCCTCTCCCACCATATCCACACCTTGTACCCACACTCGCTACACAGTCCCTTACCCACCCTTTGTAGAATACTCCAGACCTGTTGGAAGTGTTCAAGTGTTAAGTAAAATGTTTACCCAGTGATGGTAATAAACAGGAATACTGAACAGTATCCTCATCAATCTACTGAAGTCTCCCAGCTCATGCTGATTGATTGTCTTACATCATGTATGAAACCAATAGTGTATGAATGGGAGCGTGACAGGTAGACAACTTATATTCTGTTTTAGACAAAAGCAACCTGAGAACTTACTAGACCGGACCCAAAGAAGTAGAGCACGGTCAGGTGCAAGCATTGGACTAGACAGGCGTGTAAGTTGGGATGCTTCCTGGCTGGTGGAGTCGGAAGTGTCGTTGCAGCATCACGTGGCCCTGTACGTGAGTGCACCACTATAGCTGCGTGTAACTCCCATGCCCTAACAGTCTCATCCACTTGTTCAGAGTACACCGCCAATTTTATACATTATATATATATATATATATATATATATATATATATATATATATATATATATATATATATATATATATATATATACTATATATATATATTATTATATAGATGTGGAGATAAGATAGTGGTTTTTATTTGATTTGGCGTTTACAGGGGAAGACCGTGTTAGCCAGACTTAAGTCTAGAAATAGGAAGTACGTACCTGTACTCTGAAGGAGGGGTGGAGATGTTGTGCAGTTCGGAGTCAATCTGGAGCTGTGATGACAGCACACTTAAGAACATAAGAACGAAGGAACACTGCAGCAGCCCCTACTGGCCATGCCGAGGCAGGTCCATGTCTCCTACCGGCTTCAACCAATGCACCACCTATTCAAGGTCAGGTCACATTGACTTAAGGGGAGGAACACGGCATCCGACCTGGTAGCACAAGCTATCATGTCAACTCCACCCACCACATCCACTCATGTATTTATCAACCTTTTTTTAAAGCTACACAACGGTTCTGGCTCTATAACTGTCTTGGGAGGTTTGTTCCCTCATCCAAAATCTATTGCCCAAACCAGTAGTCACTTTCCTTATCCTTCTGAATCTGAAATTTTCTATTAAAACCATTCGCTGCGGTCTCCTGTCGTAGGCTAGAGATTTTCTGCACACTATTTACATCCCCTTTATTTATTTCAGTCTTCCATTTATACACCTCAATCATATCCCCCTATTTCTACGTCTTTATAGAGAGTTTGCAGATTCAGGGGTCTTATGTCTATCCTCATAAGGAAGGTTTCTGATTACTTGGGATCTACTTTGTCATCCTCTTTGTACATTTCCAGAGCATTTATATCCATCTGTCATACGGTGACCAAAACTGTGCAGCATAAATCTAAATGAGGCCTAACGAAGGATGTATAGAGCTTGAAGATCAACCTGAGGATCCTTTTACTTATGCTTCATGATATGAGCCAAAGGATTCTTATTATGCTTTAATGACGACATTGATGCAACTGTTTTCTTTGGTTTCAGATTACTGCTAACCAGAACTCCTAAATCTTTTTCGCAATCCGTAAATATTAAGATCTAATTATTAGCTTATATGTGTGGCATCGGTTTATTGTCCTGTCCAACATTTAGAACTTTGCATTTGTTACTTTGGCAAAAGTGAGTGACTTGAATGATTGACGGTGAATGTGTTTTCTCTTATAGGGATTATCCTAACACGGTAGGAGCCGGCCAGTGTGTGGAAAAAAAAAAATAATAAATGAGGCGTGGGCCGAGCGCTGGTGGAAGTTATTGGTGTATGACCATGTCAAGCCTAAAGTCAGTGGTTCGGAGACCAAATAATACATTTAAAGGATGTTACCAAGTCTTTTATATTCTTGGAGGCTAAATGTCTCTCCAAGAACAACAACGTTCATCTATTATCATCATCACCACGATCAAACACTACCTTTATACCCACCACCGCCACTCTTAACAACCCACCTCAACATCCTCACCAACACCATCATTAACACCACCCCCCCATCACACTCAACATCCCCACAGTTAACACACCCTCCATCACCAGTAACATCCCCACAGTTAACACCCACATCACCACGTTAACACCCCCCACCATCAACCATAACTTCCCTACAGTTAACACCCACAATCACTCACGATTTAACACCCCCACATCTCCACCGTAACACCCCCACCATCACCACCGTTAAACACCACCACCATCCCCACTAACATCCCCACCGTTAACACCCCACCATCACCACCGTTAACCCCCCACCATCACAATAAATCCCATCAGTTAACACTCACCAGCACCACCGCTACACCATCTCAATCTCCACACAGTTAACCCCCCCCACCTTCACCACTAACATCCCACAGTTAACACTCCACCCTCACCACCGGTTAACACCCCACCATTCACACTAACATCCCCACGTTAACACCCACCCATCACACCGTTAAACCCCCACCATCACATAAAATCCCCCACAGTTAAAACACCCCACACCTCACATTAACCATCCCCACAGTTAAACACCACCATTCACCAACGTTAACACCAACACCGTCACCACTAACATCCCCACGTTAACACCCCACCATCACCACGTTAAAACCCCACCATCACCACTAACATCCCCAAAGTGAAACACCCCACCATCACCACCGTTAAACACTCCCCACCTTACCACCAGCCCCTCAATACTAGAAACAACGCTGCCCAACCCAACATCGCACCCATTATGCATGACAACCACCATCACAACTATATTAACACCACACGATGACCACTGCACCAACATTAATATACAGCACGTAACACCTCCTAGAACACAATTACGCACCGTAAAACCTCCCAGCAACACAAGAACATTACTCCCTTTGACCATAAGAATGTCAAGTGACAGCGACTTCTCCTTCAGCTCTGAAAAAAAGTACTCAAATTTATCTAATTACAACAACAACAACAACAATTATAATAATAATCATAATAATAATTATAATTATATATAATATAATAATAATAATAATATATATTAATAATAATAATTATTTATAATAGCCCTTCGCTATATTAGAGTTTGCGAGAGTGGCTAGTATATTGTGCATTACCATATCCATGGGTGGCACGGTTAGCGTAAGGAGCATATGCGATGCACTAAAGGGCCTAGGAACTAGGCCCCAAGGTTTACAGCGAGCACATTCTAGATTCTTATCTTACAGTTGACTTGCCTATTGCAAGTAAATTTAGAAACTTTCCTTAATATATCTGGTATCTTATTTTTCTGAACTCTTGTAGGTTTGGCGCTTCATTTTTTATAATAATTATTTTTCTGAATAAGATATGGTGACATGTCACACAGGTTATTGCACTGTCTGTCTTCCACCACACTAGCAAATCAAGGTGCCTGAAGGTGCCTTGAAGGTGCCTTGAAGGTGCCTTGAAGGTGCTACCGATATGTTCCTTCCTAACAGTGACGGTGGCACTAACAGGTTTCCTTCCTAACAGTGATGGTGGCACTAACAGGTTTCCTTCCTAACAGTGATGGTGTCCATATAGCTTTCCTTACTTGCAGCGATGGTTGGTCACTAAACAGCTTTCCTTACTAACAGTGTTTGTGTCTCCTAACAGCTTTCCCTTACTAACAAGCCGAATGGTGTCCACTAACAAGTTTATCCTTCCTGCAGCGATGGTTTTCACTAACAGCTTCCTTCCTAGCAGCGATGGTGTCACTAACAGCTTTCCTTCCTAGCAGCGATGGTGTCACTAACAGCTTTCCTTCCTAGCAGCGATGGTGTCACTAACAGCTTTCCTTCCTAACAGTGATGGTGTCACTAACAGCTTTCCTTCCTAACAGCGATGGTGTCAATAACAGCTTTCCTTCCTAGCAGCGATGGTGTCACTAACAGCTTTCCTTCCTAACAGTGATGGTGTCACTAACAGCTTTCCTTCCTAACAGCGATGGTGTCACTAACAGTTTTCCTTCCTAGCAGCGATGGTGTCACTAACAGCTTTCCTTCCTAGCAGCGATGGTGTCACTAACAGCTTTCCTTCCTAGCAGCGATGGTGTCACTAACAGCTTTCCTTACTCAGCAGCGAATGTGATCACTAAACAGCTTTTCCTTCCTAGCAGCGATGGTGTCACTAACAGCTTTCCTTCCTAACAGTGATGGTGTCACTAACAGCTTTCCTTCCTAACAGCGATGGTGTCACTAACAGCTTTCCTTCCTAACAGTGATGGTGTCACTAACAGCTTTCCTTCCTAACAGCGATGGTGTCAATAACAGCTTTCCTTCCTAACAGTGATGGTGTCACTAACAGCTTTCCTTCCTAACAGTGATGGTGTCACTAACAGCTTTCCTTCCTAACAGTGATGGTGTCACTAACAGCTTTCCTTCCTAACAGTGATGGTGTCACTAACAGCTTTCCTTCCTAACAGTGATGGTGTCACTAACAGGTTTCCTTCCTAACAGTGATGGTGTTACTAACAGGTTTCCTACCTGACAGTGATGGTGTCACTAACAGCTTTCCTTCCTAACAGTGATGGTGTCACTAACAGCTTTCCTTCCTAACAGTGATGGTGTCACTAACAGCTTTCCTTCCTAACAGTGATGGTGTCACTAACAGCTTTCCTTCCTAACAGTGGTGTCACTAACAGGTTTCCTTCCTAACAGTGATGGTGGCATAAAGAGTGATGTGTCACTAACAGTGTTGGTTGCAACTAAGAGTGATGGTGTCACTAACAGTGATGGTGGCACTAACAGATTTCTTTCCTAACAGTGATGGTGTTACTAACAGGTTTCCTTCCTAACAGTGATGGTGGCACTAAGAGTGATGGTGGCACTAACAGTGATGGTGGCACTAACAGTGATGGTGGCACTAACAGTGATGGTGGCACTAACAGTGATGGTGGCACTAACAGTGATGGTGTCACTAACAGTGATGGTGGCACTAACAGTGATGGTGGCACTAACAGTGATGGTGGCACTAACAGTGATGGTGGCACCAACCAAACCCAATCACCTGAACATATTAATACAAATAATCATTTTCCTTTTGAAATTAAAATACTGCTGGAATACAATGACATAATATTTGCCGCTGACTAGATACGGCGCACATTTTCCCACATAAAATCTTCCTCTCAAAAAAAAAAAAAAAAAAGAAGTATTTGTTAATATTCCCTGGAAATAATTTGTCCAAGAAAAACAATTTTGCCTAGGTTTGTATACCTTGTTTGTATGATAAGAAATAAGTAAATGACCGACTTGGGACGAGCATCTTTTCTAAATTCTGATTAACCATATCGAGTCCTGATGTGGATTGAGAATAATTTCACCCGTTTGCGAATTGTTAAACATTCCAAAATCTCCTTCGAAGTTCACTGCATGTGGCAGGATTCGATGAAATTATAAGAAAGAACATGAGAAAGGTTCATAGACTGAGAATTAAGAGGCCGCACTCGTCACACAAGGAGCTGGACCTGGGAACACTTATAGTTTAACCTCACCTCTTATCTTTCTCCACTGGTGAATGGATATTTCAGAGCCTTCCCACCACTGTGGCGTCCCTCCTACCACTGTCACCATCATCATCACCAATATGATGCCCATCACAGCTGTGGTGGTGTCACTGCGGTGTCACCATCACAACAACAGTCTCCGGTCACCGACTTTCGGTCAATGAAAAAAAAAAAAAAGATAGAATCTATGACTTTCCTGAATGTAAATCTTCGGCGATGATTATTATTATTATATTGCTAGGAAAGCGCTAAGGGTCACATAGTTCCAAACCGATGTCCCTACGCGACAGGTTTTTCACATGTCTTGGGTAAAATATATTATAAAATATTCTGATACTGCTGGGCATGTGTCTTACTTCACATGCACAGGTGTTATCCATCTACTCACCGGCACTATAACCATTGATCTCATAATCAAAGATCCTCTCTTGATCGGGCTCATGATTAACCTTCAGCAATATAATATTAATTATTTCAGAGTTCCCCATCAAAAATTAATCTGAACCTACAAAGTAGAGGAGGAATGAAAGGGAAAAAACACCGAATAAAATAGAACCTAGCCTATACCATCGATATAATTCAGTGCTGAGGGAGATCCGGTCCTGTCGAGAAATCACACATTATTTTCTTTATTTAAAATAAAAGATCTATCTGTACCCGGCAACTTCTTATTTCTTGTGCCGATTATTATTCTTAAATTTTAGGCCCTTGTGTGTAATTCAGTTATGAGAGGTTTAGCCCGACACGGGGAAAAGCAGAGATTTTTGTGTGTGGTATTGTGTCCATGGGTTCTGTTGCAACTATCAAGAAAGTATTTTAGTTCAGAATTAATATTAGAATTTATGGTTCTATAGATGTAGGTTGCACAGTAGTAGGTGTGGATGGTCTGTACAGTGAGTAGGCTTAGATCTTTGAAGAGTGTGAGGGCGGGGGTGGGGGTTGTTGCCTTAGTATCGGGATTACCTGGGAGTTAGCCTACCTGGAGGGTATTCCGGGGATCAACACCCCCTCGGCCCGGTCCACGATCAGGCCTCCCGGTGGATCAGGGCCTGATCAACGAAGCTGTTACTGCTGGCCACACGCAATCCAACGTACGAACCACAGCTCGGCTGATCCGGCACCGACTTTAGATATCTGTCCAGCTCCCTCTTGAAGACAGCCAGGGGGCTACTGGTAATGCCACCTTATTGTTGGTGGGAGGTGTGACCAGTCTTTGGCCCCGGACACTTTTTGCGCTTTCTCTTAGTGTACCAGTGACGCCCCTACTTTTCACTTGGAGTATGTTGCATCGCCTGCCAAGTCTTTTGCTTTCGTATGGAGTGATTTCTGTGTGAATATTAGGGACCAGTCCCTCCAGATTCTTCCAGGTGTAGATTATGATATATCTCTCTCGCCTGCGCTCCAGTGAGTACAAATCAAGTGCTTCCAGGCGCTCCCAGTAGTTAAGGTGTCTGATGGAACTTATACGTACAATAAAGGTTCTCTGTACATTCTCTAGCTCTGCAATTTCACCTGCCTTGAATGGGGATGTTAATGTACAGCGGTATTCCAGCCTAGACTTCCAGCCTGACTTTTTTGGGTTATCCTAGGTTCTCTACACACATGCTGCTATGTATGATAATTCTATGTAACTGTATTTGTGTATACCTGAATAAATTTACTTACTTACTATCATTGGCTTAGCATCTCTTGTCTTGAATGTTCTCATTATCCATCCTGTCAGTTTCCTAGCAGATGTGAGAGTGGCATTGTTGTGATCCTTGAAGGTGAGGTCTTCGGACATTACCACACCCAGGTCCTTCACATTACTTTTCCGCTCTATTGTGTGATTGGAGTTTGTAGTATACTCAGTCCTAGTTATTATTTCCTCCAGTTTTCCATAACGGAGAAGTTAGAATTTGTCTTCATTGAACATCATATTGTTCTCTGTTGCCCATTGGAAAACTTGGTTTATATCTTCTTGGAGCTTTGCCGTGTCCTCAATGGATGACACTCTCATGCAAATCCTAGTATCGTCTACAAAGCCTGCTGACAGGATATAAACACCGTGAGGTAGTTAGTAGCATTTACCGGTTGTCAAAGGCACTTGTCGATATGTCTTTCAATGTACATATTCCGATAAATTACTTTAATACCTATTTCAGGGATTAAAATATACTTGTATGGTGGTGAAAAGGTTACTGTGCATCCTTAATGACAGTCGTATAGCGGAAAGCCTTTAAATCCCATTAACAACCAGCCTAGTCTGCTGTTCAGAGTGGTATGTTATATGAGGGTGACTGTTGTTCTTGATTCGCCGGTACTCTGGGCCCGGGCCTTTTCCAGATGGTGGCCTGGTGGCTAAAGCTCTCGCTTCACACGGCGAGGCCTGGGTTCGATTCCCAGCGACCCTTGTAGATTTAGCGTTTCTTTTTTATTATAATAATAATTCGATTCCAAGCCAGGGTAGAAACATTGGGCTTGTATCTTTACGCCTGTTGTCTATGTTCACACATCAGTAAAATGGGTACCTGGGTGTTAGTCGACTGGTGTGGGTCGCATCCTGGGACACTGACCTAATTTGCCCGAAATGCTCAGCTTATAACAAGGGGCTTTCTATATAGTAGTATGTCACTGATGTCAGCTAGGACTGTATACCATGTACATGTAGTTGTAGTAAATAAAGATATTATTATTATTATTATTGTGACCCAACCTTGGCTCCCTGTCTTGGGAGTGTCTTGAGACCTGTCTGCCATGGGAGGAGGTACAAGTACCTCCTCATCTTCTGGCACTGGACCACAGTGAAGACAAGCAATAATGCTGGACTTTATTGGGTTATCATGAGTTAATGAACCTCCGGCGTTAATAATCGAAATAAAATTCTTCAACTAACCAAAGAGATAGAAAGAATTATATTTATAACTCTTGTTAAGCAAGAGAAAGTATAAAAGAGAATATAAATCGCTTAGTATTAGGAATCCTAGTTATAATCACCTTACCTAAACACACACCGGTGTTCCAAATAACGTGTTTATGAACATTTCACTAAGGATTTAATGTTTTATCCACTGTGACAACTGACACTTAGCAAACTACTTGGGAATATTAAAGGTGTTTTCCTTGTGATGTGTCATCTCGCCCTTCTGGCAATTTTTATACGTCCATTGCAGTTTGTTAAATTGTTATCAGTCTTTATAGTAAATTACATTCTCAGAAAATTAGTTTGATCGTAAAAACTGCGTGTATGTAGTGTGCAATATTAACTTTTTAATTTGTATCAATTGTTTATTTTTATTTATTTATTTATTTATTTATTTAAAAATTTGAGCACACATACAGAGGTACAAAAAATACAGATAAGAGCAGCATGCCAAAGCCACTTATACTATGCATAGCATTACGGGCTGGCTTAAAATTAACTTAAGATATAATTATGAAACATATTAGTAGCATTAATTTTACAAGAATAATATGTACTCTGTCATAATCATCTTGGATGAAGCACCAAATTTTTATTAACACAGATAGCTTTATGCTTTTTTTTAAATATAAATTCAGTGAAGAATTGTAATTGAAGGTACTGAGGCCACGTTTGAGCTGAGCAGCGTTTCATACACTACAGTATTGCGTCAGCCGCCAACCAAACTCTTTTATAATTGAAAAAAGGCAAAATACTTCATATATCTAACTTGGAGAGTTAGTCTAAGTAACTTGTGCATCTCAAAATGAAATATTTTACATTTTTATTTAATGCATTGGTTTCCCACATTTTCATACGCTTTTCTCCTTTCTACTTTTCTGAAGCTCTCTAACTAGCGCAGTGAAAATAACTGTTAACAAACTTTGCAGTATTGATTTATATTATAAAAACAAGCATATAATATCGGACGAAATGTTTCATGAAATTATATAAGATAGCTAAATTATTTATCAAATTTGCTAAAGACTTTATAAAATATATAGAAAGTGGGTTTATTATTTGTGAGGCTGGAGGTGTGTAAGGAACGAGTCTCTGGCTCCGGCTGTACACACTGTCACTGAACTGGATGGACGTCTGAGACATCCTAAATAACAATAAATATGGCCAACTTAGCGGTCCAGGACTTGAAAACTTTGGTATGTATCAAATATCAACGTAGTAAGTAGGTGTTCTAAATATTTCAAGGGGGAGATAAACATAGGAGAGGTAATTCGAGGAGCACAACCTGTCACCAGCTGTTTATTATTTACTGAAGCTTTTAAGCACACTTCATGTGTAGGGAAAAATAACATTATTCTTGCTTTGATTAAAGACATATCAGCGAACACTTAGGGTATTTTATTATGGAAGCATTTTGTCCCTGGGACTTTAACAGGCGTACAGTAAGGCTGGGATATTTTTCACTTATTAAAAGCCCAGCAGCGCTGTATAGCCCTTGTGGTTTAGCGCTTCTTTTTGATTATAATAATAATATTAAAAGCCCAAATGATCAGGATGACTTAAATACCAACTTTAATTTGCAGTACTTGACCAGACTCCTGTACTACTATGAAACCTCTCAAGAAGGGTGCATTGATGCTGGTGAAGGGCTCTTGATCCAAGAGATTAAAGCCACCAATCCCTTCTGTGCATCAAATTTGATTACTCCAAACGCCAAGTGATCCTTATTGGTTTAGATCATCTTCAGTGACAAGGATTTTTTCCTGGATTATTAAGAGAAGATTTTGTTCGGATTTTTAACCCCTGAGGGGTTAGCCACCCCGGATAACCCAAGAAAGGCAGTACATCATTGAGGAACTGTCCATCTTATTTACATTGGGATCCTCAATCTTGTCCCGCAGGATGTGACCCACACCACTTGACTAACACCCAGGTACCTACTTGCTTGTTAGGTAAACGTGGATGTGTAAGGTGAAGTTGGATGTGTAAGGAAATGCATCCAACGTTTCTACCCATGCCAGGGATCGAACCATGGACACTTAAGTGTGTGAAGCAAAAGTGTTGCTTTCCAGGCCACAGGTCACCAGGTTGGTTAGTAACCAAGGCTGACCCAATAAGGCTGTTATTAGCCTGGCTTATTTCCATGGGGGTATACTTGGAGGGTGTTATGGGGGTCAGTGCCCTTGTGGCCTGGTCCATGAGTAGACCTCATGGTGCATCAGGGCCTGATTGTTAGTGCTGGCCTCATGCAAACCGACGTACGAAGCACATCCCTATGATTCTCTTCCCCCAGGATGCGACTCATCAGTCAGCAAATATTCAAGTTCTTACTTGGGTCTCTGGGAATGTGCCCAAAGCTTTCCACTTGTCCAAGTATTGAACCATGGGTCCTAAGTGTGAGAGCTGAGGCTGTCACCAATTGAGCCACGAACACCTAAATCACATAAGCACCAGTACTAAGGGGTAAACCATTTCAAAATTTTATTTATGGCATTAAGCAAGCTGTCACTTTGTGTAATACCTTTATAATGCTGCACTAGAGCTCTTGTGACTTAAGCTCTAGATTTTATTTATTCCGAGTTTATAATCTGTTATTGTGATCTGTATCTAAAATTCATATACGACAGTACAGATTTTAAATTCATATACTACAGTACAGTAGTCCTCTTGTATCTGCTGGGGATACGTTCCAAGACCTACTGTGGATACATGTAACCATGGATAGCAGCGAACCCTATATACTATAAGTAATTTTTCATTTACATATATACCTATGGTAAAGTTTAATTGGTGAATTATACACAATAAGTCTAGAATTAGAAGTTTTTCACTGGGGGCAGTAAAGCAACAGCAGAGAACTACAGACCAATAGCACTAACATCCCATATCATAAAAATCTTTGAAAGGGTCCTAAGAAGCAAGATCACCACTCATCTAGAAACCCATCAGTTACACAACCCAGGGCAACATGGGTTTAGAACAGGTCGCTCCTGTCTGTCTCAACTATTGGATCACTACGACAAGGTCCTAAATGCACTAAAAGACAAAAAGAATGCAGATGTAATATATACAGACTTTGCAAAAGCCTTCGACAAGTGTGACCATGGCGTAATAGCGCACAAAATGCGTGCTAAAGGAATAACAGGAAAAGTCGGTTGATGGATCTATAATTTCCTCACTAACAGAACACAGAGTAGTCGTCAACAGAGTAAAGTCCGAGGCAGCTACGGTGAAAAGCTCTGTTCCACAAGGCACAGTACTCGCTCCCATCTTGTTCCTCATCCTCATATCCGACATAGACAAGGATGTCAGCCACAGCACCGTGTCTTCCTTTGCAGATGACACCCGAATCTGCATGACAGTGTCTTCCATTGCAGACACTGCAAGGCTCCAGGCGGACATCAACCAAATCTTTCAGTGGGCTGCAGAAAACAATATGAAGTTCAACGATGAGAAATTTCAATTACTCAGATATGGTAAACATGAGGAAATTAAATCTTCATCAGAGTACAAAACAAATTCTGGCCACAAAATAGAGCGAAACACCAACGTCAAAGACCTGGGAGTGATTATGTCGGAGGATCTCACCTTCAAGGACCATAACATTGTATCAATCGCATCTGCTAGAAAAATGACAGGATGGATAATGAGAACCTTCAAAACTAGGGAGGCCAAGCCATGATGACACTCTTCAGGTCACTTGTTCTATCTAGGCTGGAATATTGCTGCACACTAAGCAGCACCTTTCAAGGCAGGTGAAATTGCCGACCTAGAAAATGTACAGAGAACTTTCACGGCGCGCATAACGGAGATAAAATGCCTCAATTACTGGGAGTGCTTGAGGTTCCTAAACCTGTATTCCCTGGAACGCTGGAGGGAGAGATACATGATTATATACACCTGGAAAACCCTAGAGGGACTAGTACCGAACTTGCACACGAAAATCACTCACTAAGAAAGCAAAAGACTTGGCATACGATGCACCATCCCCCCAATGAAAAGCAGGGGTGTCACTAGCATGTTAAGAGACCATACAATAAGTGTCAGGGGCCCGAGACTGTTCAACTGCCTCCCAGCACACATAAGGGGGATTACCAACAGACCTCTGGCAGTCTTCAAGCTGGCACTGGATAAGCACCTAAAGTCAGTTCCTGATCAGCCGGGCTGTGGCTCGTACGTTGGTTTGCGTGCAGCCAGCAGCAACAGCCTGGTTGATCAGGCTCTGATCCACCAGGAGGCCTGGTCACAGACCGGGCCGCGGGGGCGTTGACCCCCGGAACTCTCTCCAGGTAAACTCCAGGTGGGAAGCACTTCACAATTTCTCTTAGGCTTTGAAGAACTGCCAACATCACTACTACTGTGTTTTGGAACATTATTAAGCAAAATTATGGGTTATTTTCAGGCCACTGTAAGCCATGGATAGCTGAAACTGCGGAAATCAAATCTGTGCATATGGGAGTTCTACTGTGTATGTACAGTGGACCCCTAGATTTCGTAGTCGTCGGATTTTGTAATATTTGGAAATACACCTACCATCCGACTTACGACCGAGTTCGGTTCCGAGAAACCGTTCGTAAGTTGAAATGGTTGTAAGTCGAACTTTACTACTGAATATCAGCAAAACATTTTTGTAATGACTTTATTTTATTGTTTTATTTTGGTATTTCATGTTTTACTTTACTTTTTATGTTGTTAGCATTGTATTTTATACTGTAAGGTTTAGGATAAACACTGTGTACAACACAAATAGTTGTTTATTTCCCAGAAATTTGGCATAAAAAACACGGTCGTAAGTCGAGTGGTCGTAAGTCGAGCAGGTTGTAAGTCGGATGGTAGGTGTAGTAACTTTTTTTTATCAAAATATTGGCTTGGTGATCGTCATTGAGCTCGGTAATAGTCATTCGTCCCCAACGCGTCCACACGGCAACAGCGGCCCGACACTCGGTGTGCCATTGTTTATCAGCCAGTGAGCATGATCCCACGTGTTCATACAATAAATTTTGTATTATTCCATTCTTTTTAGTGCTTGCAACTGCTAAATAAAACACCATGGGCCCCAAGGAAGTTCCTAGTGCCAGCCTGCCCTTTGGTAAAGGACTGAGAGAGAGGGGAGAATGTGCTGTCTTCAGTGATTCTGCAATATGTACGATACTAAAACAGAAGGAGTTGATAAAGGCTATAGTGCCAGCCAGCAATAAAGTGTAGCATTAACAGTATAGCAAGTAAGTTAAGCGATTAATTGATAGGAAAAGGACAGCACGAAACTGACCCTTCCAGTATTGTTGGAGGTATATAGGGCTACTGAAAACGCTGCTGCCTCTTGCTGCTGCCTTCACCACCGCCATGTAAGGCTAATCTTTCAGTGGCCCTTATACACCCAACAACATCAACACACCATCACTCGCCACATACATAATAACATATTTTATTCATTCTAGAGTATGTATCATGTTTCTATGTTATTGATATTGTTATTGTCATATTAGATGAATTGTGCTAGATAAATAAGCCATAGAGTTAATATTAGTGTCATTGAAGGGCTATCTTGTTCTGTCTCCCAACACACCCCTGCCGTCACCACAATTCCTAACATACCCCAGAAACAGACCTCTGGAACACTTTTTTTGAGCAACAGGGGTTCAGTGACTCTCAAGCTGGTCCTAGTGGCATTAAAAACAAAGAAGGGAAGTAACCCCAGAAAAGGACTTGGTACCTGAAGTCTTTGTGGAAGGGGATTTCCCTTCCAAACAATAGTAACTCCTCCATCCTCTCCCCTTCTCCCGTCATCCATGCATCAACAGGTCTTCAATAAAGGTAAGCGTCATTTTATTATTGCTTTATTCTGCATGTCTCATTGTTTTGTGTAGGTAAATGTATATTTCATGTAAAAAAAAAATATTTGTTAATACTTTTGGGTGTATGGAATGGATTAATTGGATTTACATTATTTCTTATGGGGAAAATGAATTCGGAAATTGTCAGATTCGGGTTTAGTCTCAGGAACGAATTAATTACGATAACCGAGGGTCCACTGTAATTGCTGTAATTGTTGTGCAAATGGTAAGAAACTTAATCTAATCAAACAAAACCTCTTAATCCAACCTAAAATAACCTGACATAAGTTAACTTTGAAGCATGTTTCATGCTCCTTCCAGTATGTTTCACAAGTATGTCTCTTTGTCTATCAAATGATACCAAGAAATAGTCTTTAAAACCAAAAATTTTATGATGGTCAGTATCTTTGGATATGGTCACTACCAAGCTTCAGAAATTATCTGATATACTGTACAGTAAGTAATTTTTCATTCACATAGTATGCAGTGGACCAAAAGGAATCAGTAACTAAAACTAACACAAGTTCTTAGCTCAGTACTTCATTTGCTATTTTGAGCTGAAATTTTATACAGATGCTTCCAACCTTGTTTTATTGTGTGGTAGGGAAGACAATTGTATATTCGACCCAGACAAATATTGTGTAGTGTGGAATGCCATTTATATAATGTTATTAAACATTTTTCTAATTTAGGTGTAAGGGTTGTTACATAGAAATTAGTGGCTGTTTGGTTTAAAAATGGAATTGTTTATTAATACACTTCCTTGCATTAACAGGATATAAGCAAATTAACAGCACTTTCACATGAGGTGATCAGTCGGCAGGCAACCATCAACATTGGCACCATAGGTCATGTGGCTCATGGCAAGTCAACAGTAGTTAAGGCAATATCAGGAGTGCAGACTGTCAGATTCAAGAATGAGTTAGAAAGGAACATTACTATCAAATTAGGTAAGATTTTCTAATGTTCAGAACTAAGCCTAGTAGTATACATATAGCTGGTACACAGGTTCCAAAATTCAAGCTTTTTATGTCTTGTTATGTAACTGTTTAGGTTCTCGGTTTTATTATATTTGACGATGATGATGATGATGACGATGATGACGATGATGACGATGATGATGATGACGATGATGATGACGACGATGATGATGATGACGATGATGATGATGACGATGATGATGACGACGATGATGACGATGATGATGATGATGATGACGACGATGACGATGATGACGACGATGACGACGATGACGACGACGACGACGATGATGATGATGACGATGATGACGACGATGATGACGATGACGACGATGACGACGATGACGACGATGACGATGACGACGATGACGACGATGACGACGACGACGACGATGACGACGACGACGACGGCGGCGACGACGACGATGACGACGACGACGACGATGATGACGCTGACAATGATGACGATGACGACGATGACGGCAATGATGATGATGACTATGATTATGGCGCTGATGACGATGACGACGATGATGAAGCAGCAGCATGGTTGTACAAAGGAATATAATAGTTGGGTGTACATGCCAAAAGCCCCTTTGTATGCAGAGCATTTCGGGCAAACTTAAAATTAAGACTAATAAGGTAATAGCTCTTGTTCTTCTTTATTTCTTCTATTGTCCATGGGGAAGTGGAAAAGAATCTTTCCTCCGTAAGCCATGCGTGTCGTATGAGGCGACTAAAATGCCGGGAGCAATGGGCTAGTAACCCCTTCTCCTGTAGACATTTACTAAACAAGAGAAGAAGAAAAACTTTATAAAACTGGGATGCTTAAATGTGCGTGGATGTAGTGCAGATGACAAGAAACAGATGATTGCTGATGTTATGAATGAAAGAAGTTGGATGTCCTGGCCCTAAGCGAAACAAAGCTGAAGGGGGTAGGGGAGTTTCAGTGGGGGGAAATAAATGGGATTAAATCTGGAGTATCTGAGAGAGTTAGAGCAAAGGAAGGGGTAGCAGTAATGTTAAATGATCAGTTATGGAAGGAGAAAAGAGAATATGAATGTGTAAATTCAAGAATTATGTGGATTAAAGTAAAGGTTGGATGCGAAAAGTGGATCATAATAAGCGTGTATGCACCTGGAGAAGAGAGGAATGTAGAGGAGAGAGAGAGATTTTGGGAGATGTTAAGTGAACGTATAGGAGCCTTTGAACCAAGTGAGAGAGTAATTGTGGTAGGGGACCTGAATGCTAAAGTAGGAGAAACTTTTAGAGAGGGTGTGGTAGGTAAGTTTGGGGTGCCAGGTGTAAATGATAATGGGAGCCCTTTGATTGAACTTTGTATAGAAAGGGGTTTAGTTATAGTAATACATATTTTAAGAAAAAGAGGATAAATAAGTATACAAGATATGATGTAGGGCGAAATGACAGTAGTTTGTTGGATTATGTATTGGTAGATAAAAGACTGTTGAGTAGACTTCAGGATGTACATGTTTATAGAGGGGCCACAGATATATCAGATCACTTTCTAGTTGTAGCTACACTGAGAGTAAAAGGTAGATGGGATACAAGGAGAATAGAAGCATCAGGGAAGAGAGAGGTGAAGGTTTATAAACTAAAAGAGGAGGCAGTTAGGGTAAGATATAAACAGCTATTGGAGGATAGATGGGCAAATGAGAGCATAGGCAATGGGGTCGAAGAGGTATGGGGTAGGTTTAAAAATGTAGTGTTAGAGTGTTCAGCAGAAGTTTGTGGTTACAGGAAAGTGGGTGCGGGAGGGAAGAGGAGCGATTGGTGGAATGATGATGTAAAGAGAGTAGTAAGGGAGAAAAAGTTAGCATATGAGAAGTTTTTACAAAGTAGAAGTGATGCAAGGAGGGAAGAGTATATGGAGAAAAAGAGAGAGGTTAAGAGAGTGGTGAAGCAATGTAAAAAGAGAGCAAATGAGAGAGTGGGTGAGATGTTATCAACAAATTTTGTTGAAAATAAAAAAAAAGTTTTGGAGTGAGATTAACAAGTTAAGGAAGCCTAGAGAACAAATGGATTTGTCAGTTAAAAATAGGAGAGGAGAGTTATTAAATGGAGAGTTAGAGGTATTGGGAAGATGGAGGAATATTTTGAGGAATTGTTAAATGTTGATGAAGATAGGGAAGCTGTGATTTCGTGTATAGGGCAAGGAGGAATAACATCTTGCAGGAGTGAGGAAGAGCCAGTTGTGAGTGTGGAGGAAGTTCGTGAGGCAGTAGGTAAAATGAAAGGGGGTAAGGCAGCCGGGATTGATGGGATAAAGATAGAAATGTTAAAAGCAGGTGGGGATATAGTTTTGGAGTGGTTGGTGCAATTATTTAACCCTTTGAGGGTCGACAGGCCCTCTCCGAAACTCGTTCTCAGGGTCGGCCAAATTTAAAAAAAAAAAAAATTATTTTCTCTTATGAAAAGATAGAGAATCTTTTCCCGATCATAAAGACACCAAAAGTTTGAAATTTGATAGAAAACTTACGGAATTATGCTTCGCAAAGTTAGCGGTCTCGGCGATGTTTACGCATCGGCGATTTTGCCCACTTTGAGCCCCATTTTCGGCCAATTTCACTGTACTAGTCGACAAAAAAACATGAATATTTCGCTAGAACTCCATTTTTTCTATCGAATGGGTGCAAGAAACCACTCATTTATGAAATTCAACTATCCAGTACAGTGGTGAGAATTTAACAATTTTGCCAATTTCACACAAATTTCAAAAGATGCCAATTTCCGAATAGGGTCCAGAATAAACAAGAAAGACATTCCTGGCACTAAAATGACATTTCCTCTAGTCATTAGTCATGTCTCAAGGCCCCTCTTATATTCTTTTGCTTTCCACTTTGAATTTTTATTTTCACAAAAAATATAAGATTTACTGTTATGCAGACTACTGCATTAGTGTAAAAAATGGTATAAATATTATTGGTGCACTTGTGAAAGAATATTAGACTCACCAGTTGACGTGTATTGCACGCTTGGCACGATTTGTTTACTTTTGAAGTTTGGTAAAAATCGAACATTTCTGCTGCTTTGAGCTCAATTTCAAGGCACCTTTCTTTGTAAAACCAGTCAAAATCATCTCAATTTCTGTAATATGTCTTCCCTTCTATAAAAGGAGACCAAGAAACCTAGAATACAACAATAAATACCATACGAAGATACACTGCAAAGTCGCTGATTTATTAAAAAAAAATGGTCAAAGTTTTTTTTTTCTCATTATGCACTGTGTGCTGCAAGATTTTTTTTAGACTGTGCACACTGACTACATAGACCCATTCTTTCATATTAAGGCCTACCAGCTTTCTCCCACTAGATTTGAGGCCGCTAGAATTTATGAGTACTAGTACGTCAAAAACCCCTACGCGTAAGACGTACTAGTACGACGAAAACCCTCAAAGGGTTAATAAATGTATGGAAGAGGGTAAGGTACCTAGGGATTGGCAGAGAGCATGCATAGTTCCTTTGTATAAAGGCAAAGGGGATAAAAGAGAGTGCAAAAATTATAGGGGGATAAGTCTGTTGAGTATACCTGGTAAAGTGTATGGTAGAGTTGTTATTGAAAGAATTAAGAGTAAGACGGAGAATAGGATAGCAGATGAACAAGGAGGCTTTAGGAAAGGTAGGGGGTGTGTGGACCAGGTGTTTACAGTGAAACATATAAGTGAACAGTATTTAGATAAGGCTAAAGAGGTCTTTGTGGCATTTATGGATTTGGAAAAGGCGTATGACAGGGTGGATAGGGGGGCAATGTGGCAGATGTTGCAGGTGTATGGTGTAGGAGGTAGGTTACTGAAAGCAGTGAAGAGTTTTTACGAGGATAGTGAGGCTCAAGTTAGAGTATGTAGGAAAGAGGGAGATTATTTCCCAGTAAAAGTAGGCCTTAGACAAGGATGTGTGATGTCACCGTGGTTGTTTAATATATTTATAGATGGGGTTGTAAGAGAAGTGAATGCGAGGGGTCTTGGCAAGAGGCGTGGAGTTAAAAGATAAAGAATCACACATAAAGTGGGAGTTGTCACAGTTGCTCTTTGCTGATGACACTGTGCTCTTGGGAGATTCTGAAGAGAAGTTGCAGAGATTGGTGGATGAATTTGGTAGGGTGTGCAAAAGAAGAAAATTAAAGGTGAATACAGGAAAGAGTAAGGTTATGAGGATAACAAAAAGATTAGGTGATGAAAGATTGGATATCAGATTGGAGGGAGAGAGTATGGAGGAGGTGAATGTATTCAGATATTTGGGAGTGGACGTGTCAGCGGATGGGTCTATGAAAGATGAAGTGAATAATAGAATTGATGAGGGGAAAAGGGTGAGTGGTGCACTTAGGAGTCTGTGGAGACAAAGAACTTTGTCCTTGGAGGCAAAGAGGGGAATGTATGAGAGTATAGTTTTACCAACGCTCTTATATGGGTGTGAAGCATGGGTGATGAATGTTGCAGCGAGGAGAAGGCTGGAGGCAGTGGAGATGTCATGTCTGAGGGCAATGTGTGGTGTGAATATAATGCAGAGAATTCGTAGTTTGGAAGTTAGGAGGAGGTGCGGGATTACCAAAACTGTTGTCCAGAGGGCTGAGGAAGGGTTGTTGAGGTGGTTCGGACATGTAGAGAGAATGGAGCGAAACAGAATGACTTCAAGAGTGTATCAGTCTGTAGTGGAAGGAAGGCGGGGTAGGGGTCGGCCTAGGAAAGGTTGGAGGGAGGGGTAAAGGAGGTTTTGTGTGCGAGGGGCTTGGACTTCCAGCAGGCATGCGTGAGCGTGTTTGATAGGAGTGAATGGAGACAAATGGTTTTTAATACTTGACGTACTGTTGGAGTGTGAGCAAAGTAACATTTATGAAGGGGTTCAGGGAAACCGGCAGGCCGGACTTGAGTCCTGGAGATGGGAAGTACAGTGCCTGCACTCTGAAGGAGGGGTGTAAATGTTGCAGTTTAAAAACTGTAGTGTAAAGCACCCTTCTGGCAAGACAGTGATGGAGTGAATGATGGTGAAAGTTTTTCTTTTTTGGGCCACCCTGCCTTGGTGGGAATCGGCCAGTGTGATAATAAAAAAATAAGGCAATAACTTCATATGGTCATTAGATGAGTTACAGTGAGTACAAGAGGATGGAGTATTCTATTAGTTAATGCTATAATAAGTCTAATGGAGCAGTTCAGTATAGAATAAGTATAGTTTTGATATAGTTTATATCAAATATGAAGTATTACAATTTAGTACATCTTAAGCAATAAGATTGGAGCACTTATAAGTTTGCAGTTATGAGTAAATGGTTGAGCAGTCATCAACAATATACAATAATGAAATTGAAACAGTTTTAAGTTTGAGGTAAATTATCAAATAGTAGAGCAGCCTTAAATTATTTAGATTTTTTTTTTTGAGTAGCTTTTGAGTAACTGGTAGGTATTAAGTAAAGTGTTTCTCATTAATTTAGGATGATGAGGTGATTTCTAAGTAGGGCCTTAAATTGATTTGCAGGCAGGGGTCCTTTAGCGTTTTCTGGCAATGAATTCCAGATCTTCGGGCCCTTTATATGCATATCATTTTTGTATAGGGAGAGATGTACACGTGGGATATTGAAGAGTGGTTTGCATCTTGTATTATGGCTGTCTGCTCTGTTATAGTTATCAAGGAGGAGTTTGAGAGGAGGGTTTATAGATGTTTTATTTATGCCTAAGACATTCAGCCTTCATGTGTCAGTAAATGCTGAGGCTTTATTTCATAATTAGGTTATATTGAATGTACCTAATTGAGGAGCTACTTCCTACAAGGTTCTTTCAATTTCAATTTTTCAACTTTAAAATTCTAAAAAACTCGTACATTGTTCATTGTATTTCAGATAACATTAGGCTAGGTCTAATTAACCCTTTGACTGTTTACGTTGTATATATATACGTCTTATGCTCCACTGTTTCTGACGTATTTATACGCGTAAATTCTAGCGGCTTCCAATCAAGCAGGAGAAAGCTGGTAGGCCCACATGTGAGAGAATGGGTCTGTGTGGTCAGTGTGTACCACATAAAAAAAATCCTGCAGCATGCAGTGCATAATGAGAAAAAAACTGAACATTTTTTTGGATTAAAACGCCGAATTTGAGGTGTATTTTTGTATAGTATTTATCGTTGTATTCTAGTTTTCATGGTCTCAGGTAATAAAATGGAAAACATATTACAGAAATAGAGATGATTTTCATTACTTTCACGATGAAAACGAACTTGAAATTGAGCTCCAAGTAGCAGAAATGTTCGATTTTTACCAATATTCAGGAGTAAGCAAATTACACCACACGTCCAATACATGTCAACTGGGGAGTCTAATATTCTTTCACTAGTGCATTGATATTGTTTATACCATTTTTACAATAATGCAGTAGTCTGCATAACAGTAAATTTTGTATTTTTTGTATGAATAAAAAATCAAAATAGAAAGCAATAGTAATATAAGAGGGGCTTAGAGACATGACTAATGAACAGAGGATGTGTTATTTTAGTGCCAAGAATGTCTACATTGTTTATTCTGGACCCTATTTTGAAATTGGCATCTTTTTTAATTTGCGTGAAATTGGCCAAATTGCCAATTTCTGACCACTTTATTGTGCAGTTCAAATCGGTAAATGAGCGGTTTCTTGTACTCAACTGATAGAAAAAATAGAGTTCTAAAGAAATAGCTATGAGTTTGGTCAACTGGAACAAGGAATTGCCGATGCGTATATGTCGCTGAGAGCGCTAACTTTGCGAGAGCATAATTCCGCGAGTTTTCAACCAAATTTTGTACTTTTGGTGTCATTACCATTGGGAAAAGATTCTCTACCATTTCATAAGAAAAAATAATTTTTTTCTTTTTTACCGAAACTTTTGCGACATAGAATGACAGTTTCAGAAAGGGGCTTGCGACAGTCAAATGGTTAATTTGTTAAAGAGCCTAATCAAGTTTGGCAAGAAAAAAATTACCTTTATGTAAGAATTATATGTAGTTGGGCTTAATGTTTTGATACATACTTGAGCCTCCAACCTGCTTTAGCCTGTTTGTAGCTGGATACACCTTTAAGCAGACATATGAGAATTTTGCTTATGATTACCCAGGAAGATATGACTGTTCATAATGAGTATGTTATGGAAGACTGTTCAGCATTTTCCACTATGACAGAAATGCTGGTATTTGTCTCATGAACATACAAAGTATTTGGGAACTCGTGCAAACTCATCTTTACTCTCAAGTTTTTCGTTATAGTTTTTATTCTTGTAATATTTCCTTTCCAGTTTAGAAGGTCTTGTCTGAAACTGTGTCATGGATATCATGATCCATGGAACCATTATATAATATGTGAATGTATTGTACTTTGAATTTTTGAAAGAATTATCAGAAAATTCATCGAAGAATCTATTGGTTACACACACATCCTCTTGTGATGTATAATAACTAAGTAGATTTGACTGCCTAGCCTGAAGCACTCATTAACCCTTTACCAGAAACACATTTTTGTAGAGGTGGGAAATGCAGTTGCTGCATTCTGAAGGAAGGGTGAGGGTATGGCAGTTTGAAGGGTCATTTGAATTGTAATAAGTGTGTATTTCTGATAAGACCTATTGACTAGAATAAGGACACTGCTGTCTTGTCCTCTTAATATAAATCATGAACTTCTGCATATATTCAAGAAGACTCAGGAATGGTTTACTGTATATTCTTCCCAATCATTTGTCTCAGATTTTCTAAGGTTAGAAAATTCGTGCTGTGGTCAGATTAATCTTTTATAAATGGCAATAAATAATTATGGTTTGGCAGCCTGTTATATGCAGAGCTGGAAAGTCCTATGACTTGCTTAGTTTTTCAAACAGTTTAGTATACTGGAATTCATTCTCATAATTTTTCACAAAATCTCTCATCTTTCATACATGTTTTGAAAAATAATGAGTTGTATATATGATATAGAATATTGTTAAAAACTGTAATGATCATTGACTTACCAGACCTGTTTTTCCTCTAGGGTATGCCAATGCTAAAATCTACAAATGTGATAATGCAAAGTGTCCACGGCCATCTTGTTTCATATCTGCCAGCTCTCATAAGGAAGATTCCTTCCCCTGTGCTAGGTCTAATTGCTCTGGAAAGTAAGTCCACAGTGTATTTTTATTTATATATTGCAGCTTCTCTTAAAAAAATTTGGTTCACTCCTTAATTGATTCCCAATTCCTTTTAAAACTGTCTGTGTATTTTGGTATATCTTCACTTAAATTTCCTTCTGTACTAGTTTTTACAGTTTGGATATTACGGTTATTAGTTCATAAAATACATACACGTACTATTTGCAGTGTCTTTTCTGAGTTGATGTCAACAGTGACTTTTAACTGTAACAGTTCACAAATAACCTAACACATTTAAGAGGAAACTCTTGATATTTTGGTCCATCATTTACTATTGAGTCACAAGTCAAAGATAGGGTTTACTCTTGAATGTGTAACTTATTACGTCTTAAATGGATTGCAGAAATTATTTGGAAAATATAGTTTATCAGTTTTCTTTGCTGTTTGTGTTCATTATAGTATATATTTGAATTTGTTTTATATGTACAGACATACGTATGCATGTGTGACACACACACACACACACACACGTGTGCACATACATTTGTTATTTTACATATTGTTTGTTTACAGATTTCGGATAGTGAGGCATGTCTCCTTTGTAGATTGTCCAGGTCATGACATTTTGATGGCCACTATGTTGAATGGTGCAGCTGTAATGGATGCTGCCCTCTTACTAATAGGTAGGTAGTAAATCATTGCCACTTTTAGAGACCTGATGTGCCTTTTAAAAGTAAATGTTTAGAAGTGATTAATAAAATTGTATGATAAAATTTCATCGTGAATGTTGCTCTTCTCATGAATTAATCCAGGAATCCTAATGAACTATAGGAAAAGCTTCATTACAATACTGTCAATAACATTTTCAAAAGTGAAGTTAGTTATATCATTAAATATTCCAGGGAAATATGCTACTGAAAATGTTTCATATTGGTTTTCTTCACAGCTGCAAATGAGACTTGTCCACAACCTCAAACCTCAGAGCACTTGGCAGCCATTGAGATCATGAAGCTCAAACATATCCTTATTCTCCAAAATAAAATTGATCTCTGTAGAGAGTCACAGCTGCGGGAACAGTATGACCAAATTCTTAGATTTATTCAAGGTAAGCTTTGAAGTAAGCAATTTTTATTCCGTAAAAACATCACCCATGGGACAGGCAGATTGACCTTACTCCCATTGTACCCTGCATTTGCCATGTATTCTCAGATATTCTAAACCCTGAAATTGTCTATCATGTATCTCCACAGCTGCATGGGGAACAGGTGACCACATAGATTTTTGAAACGTGTTAAAATGGAAGCAAAAAAAAAAAAAAAAAAAAAAATTAATTAAAATTATATACATCACTAGTGTACTGCTACCCTGTTCTATATAGTTGTTACTCAGTGGGAACAAAAGTTCATGTTTCCCCTGCCATATTCCATCTTGCAGGATGAGGCTCATATGGACAAGGTATTGAAATCTGGCAGGCTGAGCTGGAAACTCCAGTAGGACATTGAGGATATCAAGTATTTCAGTAAGGGTCCATCAGCTATGGCAGCCTCATAGCTGGATAATAATAATAGCAGCGTGTTACCGCTATTCTATATAATAGTTACATATGTACATGGATGAGTATATACTCACATGAATGATTTTATTTGCATTCAGAGGGCAGAAGAGGGGTTGTTGAGGTGGTTTGGTCATTTAGAGAGAATGGATCAAAGTAGAATGACATGGAAAGCATATAAATCTATAGGGGAAGGAAAGAGGGGTAGGGGTCGTCCTCGATAGGGTTGGAAAGAGGGGGTAAAGGAGGTTTTGTGGGTGAGGGGCTTGGACTTCCAGCAAGCGTGCATGAGCGTGTTAGATAAGAGTGAATGGAGACGAATGATACTTGGGACCTGACGATCTGTTGGAGTGTGAGCAGGGTAATATTTAGTGAAGGGATTCAGGGAAACCGGTTATTTTCATATAGTCGGACTTGAGTCCTGGAAATGGGAAGTACAATGCCTGCACTTTAAAGGAGTGGTTTGGGATATTGGCAGTTTGGAGGGATATGTTGTGTATCTTTATACGTATATGCTTCTAAACTGTTGTATTCTGGGCACCTCTGCAAAAGCAGTGATAATGTGTGAGTGTGGTGAAAGTGTTGAATGATGATGAAAGTATTTTCTTTTTGGGGATTTTCTTTCTTTTTTGGGTCACCCTGCCTCGGTGGGAGACGACCGACTTGTTGAAAAAAAAAAAAAAATATATATATATTTTTTTTTCAACATGCTAGCTGTCTCCCACCAAGGCAGGGTGACCCAAAAAAGAAAGAAACATTTTCATCATCATTCACACATAATCACTGTCTTTGCAATGGCACACAGATATTACAGTTCAGATGTCACTCCAAACAGCAAATATCCCAGACCCCTTCTTTAAAGTGTAGGCATTGTACGTCCCACCTCCAGGACTCAAGTCCTGCTAATCAGTTTTCCTGAATCCCTGCACAAAATATTACCATGCTTACAATCAACAGCTCGTCAAGTCCCAAAAACCATTCATCTTTACTTACTCCTATCTGACATGCTCACACTTGCCTGAAGTATGTCCAAGTCCCTTGCACACAAAACCTCTTTTACATATGTACAGTACCTACAGATAACTGGGTCTTTACCATACAATTGGGGCTTCATTATGCTAAAGAGTGCTGGCAATTTCAGGGTGGACAATGAGGATATTCTCTTGAACCCCAGGGTAGATAATAACAAAAACTGGACATATTGGCAGGTGGGTAAATACTGAGAGTGAAATCTTTGAGGGATGTAATACACTCGCCATCTCTCAAAAAGCCATTTCTTTTAAGAAGCACCTGTTTGAGCATAATGCATATTGGGTTACTTTTTAGTAATTGTAATCATATGGGATAAAAAATTTGCACAAAAGAATTAAACCTGCATCTAGTTGGTGGGTTCATAATATCCTTCCTCAGGAAAATCGCCAGCATCCTAATATTTCCACTTCTTTGAGCCTGATTTGAAGCTACTTCTGGTCCTGAAACCAACAAAGATCATCTCTATTTTAACAGCATATCTTCCATTCTGCCAGTTGATGTCATAAAAGAGCCAATAAAATCCCTCAAAAATTCCATGCACTGCATGAGGCAGTTTTTTATTCTATACTGTGCACACTTGCCACAAACCCATTCTTTCATGTCTAGGCCAAAATTTACTGCTCACACCATATTTCAGGGCTGTGCTTAAAATGTAAATCTACATGCATGATGCTGGCATCAGTAATGTAGATCTGCATAAGAGGCAGTGAAGGGGTTAATCAAATTGTTAATATTTTGTTAAAGCATGATATTATTATTGCTATTTGTTTGTAAAACTCAACTCATATGGGTCATATAGCACAAGGGGAGACAGCTAGATCCTCTGTCCACTAATGTTGGCCCAGTTTATGTAGGTGTATGTACTTCTGTGACTACCCTTTGAAACAGTGGAGAAAATGGGAAAAACACAATTCAGACATTTTATATTTTAAAATAAAACTTGCATTTATTCCCAGAATTGTAGTTACAGTAGGGCCCCACTTATACGACAGGTTAGGTTCCAGGCTACCCCCGTAAAGTGGAAATCGCCGTAGAGCGGAACACCTTTTTTTCAAATTATAAATGCATATAAATACTAGATAACAAGTTTACACTAACTTATATTAAGTTAACAATAAAACTAGGCATTAAACAACAATAAAAAAGTAAAATACACATATAGTACACTCATTACTTGCCTTAAAATATTTGTGGTCTTAATCTAGGGTGAGATGACTAGTATTTATTGTAAGAAATCAAGTGTGGTATGATGGTAGCCAGCCAGGCTACCATACCAGGCCAACCCACCCACACATAATATTCTATGACATTCAAGTGTCCCAAAGCAATAAAATGCAAATACAGTTCACTCATTACTTACCCTATAATATTTGTAGTCTTAATGTAGGGTCAGAGGTGAGTAAATGAGATAAAACGAGTAAATGAGGAGAGAGAGAGAGAGAGAGAGAGAATGAGTACATCTTTCTTTCTTTGTTGGGTTTATCAGGGCCGCTGACAGCATAAGCCGTATTGAGCCTGACTTCTTGATGGTACGAGGAAAAATTGTTGCCCAAGGCTGGGCGATGAGAGAAAAGGAACAAAAGTTCCTTTGTAAACAGAGATAGAAACTTGAAGTTTCCAATTAGATCCGGTGGACCCTCTTGCCAAACCCTAGCAGAGCGGGACGCCCATACTCTCACCTGAGATCAGTAACCGGCTTCCCACCAAAGACCGATAAAGAATTATCCGCAGGAGCTGGCCAAAAGTAAGCTGATGAACAGGTGCCCCTCCTGTAGAGTGCCTGGCGGGCAGAATGGATGAGGACAAGCGTCCCAGTGAGAATGGGGAAAATTTGTCACTGATGCTCAGGCGAGAGAGAGATGTCCACACCCAATGAAGGCTGGCGCAGAAGTCCAAATGAGTACATGAGAAAGGACACTCGTGGAGTTATGTAAACAAACCAGGTGAATGCCAGCTTTGTAAACAAACCAAGCAAACACGTCTGGTTTGTGTACAAGTTACATTGTGTACAAGTTGTCTCTATGTTGATACGGTAGAATAAATGAGGAGGAACACTCCCATTCTCATGTAACACCATTTTTTAGAAGAAATGACACTGAGTGAAGGCATATGAAAGGAATAATTTTCTACAGTTACCCCCAGTAACACATTTTCTCTTATGTTGGACTAGAGAAAACGTTATTCTTGCCGTCACTCGTACAAGTCATCTGGCTACCTCATCTCATATTTATGTTTATTTATTCTACTGTGGGGTGTATTTATCATCTTTATATGTTATGTATCGTGTTTATTATATAATTTTGAAAAATATCACGGATGGATTAATGAAAAGATATATATTAACATAATATATGACATTTAATGAGACTCGGTGATTATTATTGAGTATTATTATTATCATTACTAATGTGGTGTCACTCTACAAGTTGTCTAGCTACCACATCTCATATTTGTTTATTTATTCTACTGTGGGGTGTATTTATCATCTTCATATGTTATGTATAGTGTTTATTATATAATTTTGAAAACGTATCATAGATGGATTAATGAAAAATGTGTATATTAATGTAATTTATGACATTTAATGAGACTTTGTGATTATTATCATTACTAATATGGCGTCTCGAGACATAAGACACTCTTACTGATTTTAATGTGTTCCTGCATGCCAGCACAGTGTGTAAGTTTATTTAGGTACAGGTATACATAAGTATAATTATCAGAGTATACAGTGGAACCTTAAATTTCGAACTTAATCCGTTCCAGAAACGCAAAAATATTCACAAAAAAAAAAATACATTTTATAGAGATTAATTATAGTTTTACATACAACAGATATAGTGTACAATTATGTATTAATAAATTTAAATAAAAATATAAAATTTTTACTTACCTTTATTGAAGATTGGTGATAGCATCTGGAAGATAGGGAGGAGAGAGGGAGTTGGGGTTAGTGTTTGGAAGGGGAATCCCCCTCCATAAGGACTAGGTATCAAAGTGCTCTCTGGGGTTACTTCCCTTCTGTCTTCTAATGCCACTAGGACCAGCTTGAGTCACTGGACCCGTCTCAAAATAACTGTCCACGGTCCTCTGTTTCTGGCGCCTTTTTAAGATTTCCCTAAAATGGGATATGGTTTTGTCACTGAACTTGTTGCAAAGATGGCTTGTTTCATCTTGCTCAGGGTGGTACTTCTGCACAAACATTTGGACATCATTCCACTTGGCACAAATCTCCTTAATCTTTGAAGAAGGCACCTCATCCACTCCCTCCTCTTCCTCCTCTGAAGCAAGTTCCTCAGCTGTGGTCTGATACTGTGCCAGATAAAGCTCTTCCAGCTCTTCAGTGGTTAGCTCTTCACTGTGGTCCTCCACCAACTCTTCCACATCCTCTCCACTCACCTCCAGCCCTAGGGTGTTCCCCAATGCCACAGTAGAGTCCACAACAGGCAGAGGGTCATCAGGGTCAGCCTCAAACCCTTCAAAATCCCTCTTTTGGACACAATCTGGCCACAGTTGTCTCCAAGCAGAGTTCAAAGTCCTGGAAGGCACTCCCTCCCAAGCCTTACCTCCAGAACTCTCTTAGGGCCAACTTAGTGTCTGTGGTCATTTCAAAGCACTTTCCAAACACTGCTTTTGTGTAGAGTTTTTTGAAGTTAGAAATGACCTGCTGGTCCATGGGCTGGAGGAGAGGAGTGGTGTTAGGAGGCAAGAACTTCACTGTTATAAAACTGAAGTCCCTAGACAAGAGGTCTACTAAGTTTGGAGGATGAGCAGGAGCATTGTCCATTAACAGGAGGCACCTGAGTGGCAAATTATTGTCTAGTAGGTATTTTCTCACACTGGGGCCAAACACTTCATGGACCCACTCTTTGAAAATTTGCTTTGTGACCCATGCCTTATTTGCTTTCCACAAGACACATAACGTGTTCTTTATGACATTGTTTTTCTTAAACACACTCGGATTTTCTGAGTGATACACAAGTAAAGGCTTCACTTTAAAATCACCACTAGCGTTAGCACAGAACAAGTGTGTTAGCCTGTCTTTCATAGGCTTGTGTCCTGGGAGTGCCTTTTCCTCCTAAGTAATGTAGGTCCTCTTTGGCATTTTCTTCCAAAACAGGCCTGTTTCGTCACAATTGAACACTTGGTGGGGTTTGAATTTTTCAGTGTCTACGTAAACCTTAAACTCCTGTACAAACTTCTCAGCCGCCCATTTGTCTGAACTGGCTGCCTCACCATGCCTTACAACATTGTGTATGCCACTACACTTCTTAAATCTGTCAAACCAGCCTCTGCTGGCCTTAAATTCACTATCAGCACTGGTTCCAGGAGTTTTCTGTACCAGATCGGCATGCAACTTCCTTGCCTTTTCACAAATAATCGTCTCTGAAGCACTATCACCTGCCATCTCTATCCTTGATCCACACCAGCAACAACTTCTCAACCTGATCGATTGTCTGTTTTTTTTTGGTTAGCATATCAACACCTTTCGCAACATCAGCTTCCTTGATTTGTTCTTTCTTTGCCAGGATAGAAGCGATGGTCGACTTGTTTTTCCCATTCATCCTGGCAAGCTCAACAAATTTCACACCACTCTCATACTTTTGTATTATTTCCTTCTTCACATCTATGGTGTTTCTCACTTTCTTTACCACATGGGTACCACTAGCAAGTTTCTTTGGGCCCATGGTAGCTTATTTCACAGTTCCACAAGCACTAAATGCAGTGAATTTATTGTAAAATATTTGAATGAAAGCACAGGTTAGTGTTTACTCAAGCATCAACAAAGCTAGACTGGCTCAAGGCGCCTGCGTGGGGACGTGGACAGAGCGGGCTGGCGGACAGGTCCAGTACCCAGTGGTTTGAAAATAAGGGCGAGTTCAATAATAGGGACAAAGTTGGTTCGAAAAAAGCGGTCGATTTTCGAAGAGTTCGAAAACTTGAGGTTCCATTGTATATAAAATATGAAATAACTTTTAAAAACACTTGAAATTTTGGAGTTTCCAGACATAGTGGAGAGATGTAGTGCTATAGCTCTCAGAGAATGTAAACAAGTCGAGTGGGACTCTGTGACCATATTAGAAAGTCAGGTAGGGAGAGCCTTATAGCAAGTTTGGGTCATAATTTGAAATGTCTATTAGCGGAACGCGGTTAAGCGGGGCCCTACTGTATTGCCAATCTTGGCCTTGAATCAAGTAACTCCATTGTGTGGTATAGCATCTTCATATAATACAGTATAGGAAATGTTAACTCAATAAGGCAGTCTTTTATGGCTCTTAATTTAAGGAAAAATGAAATGATTCCATTGTCAATTATATAGATTAACTTTGGTAGTTATTGCTCATCTAAAAAGTCTACCCATTACAGGGAACATGATTTAGCATGAAATTTTTTTCTTTGGTAGGCACGGTAGCAGAAGGAGCACCAGTTATTCCCATTTCTGCACAACTCAAGTTAAACATTGATGTGGTGTGTGAGTACATCATGAAGAAGATTCCAATACCAGATCGTGACTTTATGAGAGAGCCACGACTCATTGTCATTAGGTCTTTTGATGTAAACAAACCTGGCTGTGAGGTGGAGGATTTGAAGGGTGGTGTGGCCGGTGGCTCCATTTTGAGAGGAGTTCTGAAGGTAAGCCAGTGTTGAGTAGTTACTGATAATGATAGGTTGTGTGGATTCAAGATTAAGCTTAGGTATTTTTTTGTATTTATTTATTTTTTATTCTTGAAGATCTCTTGAAATGTGGATAAATTTTACTTCCAGTGACAACTTTATTTTTCTGACATTTCACTTGGAGCCAAGCAAATATGAAGGCTTGTCCCAATTTGAAAATTCCTCGGCAGATTTCCTGTACATTAATCTTGAAACGTTACACAAGACTGTGTCGTATTAAATTTCACATTATTTCTTTTGGAAAGTAGTCACCTGGTTGACACCACTACTTTTGCATGTTAGCTTTTCCAGGTAGCTAAAATTACTAGTTCATTGTATTGATTTTGGTGTTGCAAAAGATCTGTATGTTTATAAGTAATAACCTGTTTATTCAATATAAAAAATTAACATTGTCAGTCACTCATTGACTTATACTTTGGTAGGTAGTTATTGTATATTCAATGTGGCATGTTTTAGCTTTGTGCTTGAAGAAAATTTAGTGATTGAAAAATATTTGAATATAATAAAATCACTTGGCAAGCAGCAGAATGCTACATAGATAACAGTATTCAAATGGTTCCCATATACCCTCCACTTGTGGGCTGGGTATGAAATGGTGGAGAATCTCTTTCTGAAGGTAATGACACCAAAAATGCAAAATTTGAATGGAAAACTTGCAGAATTACACAGGTGCAAAGTTGGCAGTCAGGGCACAGTTTATGCATCAGTGATTTTGCCTACTTTGAGTCCTGTTTTAAGCCAATTCTGTAGCTGAATTTGACCCAGGTCCTAGCTAATTTGCTAAGTATACCTTCCATTCTATGAAGTGATTGCAAGAAAACTGCCCTGTAAGATGAACAAGGCAGTAATTGGGCCAATTTTACACAAAATTCAACAAATTCCAATTTAAAAGTCCAACATGAACACTGTAGGCATTCCAGCCATTAAAACAACCTTTACTCTTCATTAATTATGTCCCTAGGCCTCTTTATATAACATTTGCCATCCATTTGGAATCCATCATAAAATCAAAGTTTTACACTGTTTCTTGGATAATAAAATATAACGAAGAATGATTGGTCATGTTTTAGGCCATTCCAATAATTGAAACAGACTTAGTGAAAACCTGTAAAACAAACCCGAGGGGGACTATTCTTCCTCAGGAAAATTGCCAAAAATCAATTATTTCCATCACTTTCAGGTCTGTTTTGAGCTACTTTCAATCTAAGACAAACCAGAATCACCTCTTATTTCATTGGTATGTCTTTTATCAGTTGATACCAAGAAACAGCCAATAAAACCATAAAAACCACCCTAGAAAACACCTCAAAGTGACTGTTTTAAACCAAACACGAGGTCAGAGGTTTGCTTTTTCCCTTGTGTACTGCATGGGGAAAGATTTTTTTTTTTTTTATAACTGTGCACATCCACTGCACAGACCCATTCTCTCATGACTAGGCCAAAATTTACTGCTCACAGCATATTTGAGGGCAATGTGCTTAAGATATAGATAGATCTGTATGAGCTACACTAGTGTAAGTAACATAGATATACAGTGGACCCCCGATTAACGATATTTTTTCACTCCAGAAGTATGTTCAGGTGCCAGTACTGACCGAATTTGTTCCCATAAGAAATATTGTGAAGTAGATTAGTCCATTTCAGACCCCCAAACATTCACGTACAAATGCACTTACATAAATACACTTACATAATTGGTCGCATTCGGAGGTAATCGTTATGCGGGGGTCCACTGTATATGGGAGACAGTGAAAAGGTTAAAAAATGCACTAGTAAATTTACAGTTTTGTTTAGGCACTCCTTCCTTCTAACATACAGGTTTATAACACACACAGTGGTTTTGTGCTGCATTATCTAGGCATTAAGTAAGGCCCTTTACTTTTTTTTTCTCCTCAATCTACACATTCAGCATTTTTTTTTTCTTAATTGTAACGATAATTTCCATTCTTTTCAGCACATCATAATCAGAACTGGTTATGGCACAGGCTCTTTTTTTTTCTCATTGTTTCTGATGGTACAAATGGGTAACTCTCCGAGACCAAACAAGCAGGCAGTTTCCATTATATGTGCACCACCTAATACTTCTGTTTTCTTAGATACTGTACTGTCAAAGATTTCACACACACACACACACACACACACACACACACACACACACACACACACACACACACAGACACACAGACAACAGACACACAGACACACAGACACAACACAGACACACACACACAGACACACAGCACACACACAGAACACACACACACACACACACACACACACACACACACACACACACACACACACACCACACACCACACACACACACCCCGACACACACACACAGACACACACACACAGACACACACACACACACACACAGACACACACACACACACACACAGACAAAACACACACACACAGACAAAACACAGACACACACACACACACACAGACACACACACACACACACACAGACACACACCAAAATAGACACACACACCCCACACACACCACAACACACACACACACACACACACACACACACACACACACACACACAGACACACACACAGACCCCACACAGACACACACACAGACACACACACACAGACACACACACACAGACACACACACACAGACACACACACACAGACACAACACACAGACACCACACACAGACACACACACACAGACACACACACACAGACACACACACACAGACACACACACACAGACACACACAAAACAGACACACACACACAACACACACAAGACACACACACACACACCCCACACACACACACACACACACACACACACACACAACACACACACACACACACACACACAGACACACACACACACACAGACACACACACACACACACACACACACAACACACACAACACACACACACACACACCCCATACCCCACACACACACACACACACACACACACACATACACACACACACATACACACACACACATACACACACACACACATACACACACACACACACACACACACACACACACACACACACACACACACACACACACACACACACACACAGACCCCAAAACACACACACAGACACACACACACACACACACACACACACACACACACACACACACACAGACACACAAAACACACAGACACACACACACACAGACACACACACACACAGACACATCACACACAGACACACACACACACACACACACACACACACACACACACACACACAACACACACACACAGACACACACACAGAAACATCGAACACACCACAGACACACACACGACACACCACAGACACACACACAGACACACACACAACACCACACAGACACACACACACACACCACACACACACACACACACACACACACACAGTATTTGTCTTGACACTTCCAGCATCAGCAGTATTCCTCTTGATTGCCATGGTTAATGTCTATAGATGAGAGAGTACAAGGAAAAAATTAAATTCAAATAAACATACGAGTCTTCCATTCACAGAACTTCCACGAGGCAACTGATGGAATGAGTGGCTAGTGAAAGAAGGTTGTGCAATGCCTTTTTTCAAAAATAAACAGTTACTCTGCTTCTCCATAGGCCCAGCAGAGAGGAAGGGTGGGGGGGAGAGATCTTATGGCAGCCACTACCATGATCTCATGTGCTGTCAGACACAACAGACACTGCAGTTCATGGTTTAATATGTAGCTCCTGTTAATGAGGATTCTCATATATTTGAATGGCAGTCACTGAAGTGACTACAAGATACTCATTTGACTTGTAGGGGTTTTTGTTAGCTTATTACAAAATAATTGCATGAGTAGATTTGACTAATAAATCTATATTCATAATTTTTCATAGATTGGCCAAGAGATAGAGGTGCGACCAGGAATCATATCACGTGATCCAGAGTCTGGGCGAGTTGTTTGTAAGCCAATCAGATCTAGAATCATATCCCTCTTTGCTGAGACTAATGAACTACAGTTTGCTGTTCCTGGTGGTCTAATTGGTAAGTTCTGACATTTAGTTAATACAGTACAGTATAATTGTTTTGTATATATTTTGCATGAAAACTTTAAACATTGTTTCACATACCATTTTGTACTGTAGTCCCAGAAAGACATTTACTCTTGTTGAGTGAAACTAAGTAACTCATCTTTTTTTTTTTTTTTTCCCCCGATGCTGGGTCATCTTGTAATGGAGTTGCAGCTTGAGTGACTTAGTGTCTGATTTAAGAACTCAGCACTTCCTCCCCCCTCCCTTTATTTTTCTCTCTCTCAAGTAGCTGTGCAGTGTGAATATCGGGCACAAAATTTAGGGTGTAGAAAATGAGAGGTAATGTGGGGTTACCGAGGGTGTAATTCAAAGGGCTGAGGAGGGGGTTGTTGAGGTGGTTTGGGCATGTAGAGAGGATGTTGAGGGATAGGACGATGGAGAGTGTATAAAACTTGGGTGGAAGGTAGGAGGGGTAGGGGTCCAAGGAATGGTTGGAAGGAGTGAGGCAAAAGAAGCTTTTTAGGGGCTTGAGTATCCAGTGGGGTTGTGTGAGTGCACTAGACAGGAATGAAAGGAGAAGAGAGATTTTTAATGGATGCGCTGTTGTGATGTGAGCAAGGTAACTTTTATGAAAGAATTCAGGAAACCAGTCCTGAAGGTGGAAAGTGCAGTGCTTGCACTCTGATGATACACTCAAGAGTAATCTGAATTGTGATGTCAGCACACTTTTGTAAAGACAGTGATTTTTGAATGGAGATTGTGAATATTTTTTTGTCCCCTCTAGATAGATGGCGATTGTGAATATTTTTTTGTCCCCTCTAGATAGATGGCTGTTGAAGTAAACAGAAAAATGTACTAATCTGGTGATTGCATCAACCTATGTCACAAAGTATTATGAGAATAATATCTATTTTGTAGAAAAGTAATACCTTTACCTCTACTGTATCTGAAGGGCTTCAAGAGTTTGTCTAGTGCTTGCATAATCAACTAGGCTTCTTATGCTGGCAGCCTGCTGGCCCACATAAACATTACAGCCTGGTTGATCAGGCACTTGGCAGAGGTATTTATCAAGTTTCCTCTTTAAGACTTCTACACTTGTTCCGACTGCTCGTATTTTTTACTAAAATCATTTATACGTACAGTTTTTATATACTCTACAGTTTAACAAGAAGGGAAGGCTGCCCATGGCAGTGTTGACAAAGTTATCCCCCATCCTCTGCTTAGCTTAACCCTTTCAAGGTTGACAGGCCGTCTCAGAGACTTGTTCTCAGGGTCGGCCAAATTTCCAAAAAAAAAAAAAAAAAAAAAAAAAAAATTATGAAAAGATAGAATTTTTTCTTGATCATAATGACACCAAAAGTATGAAATATGATGGAAAACTTACGGAATTATGCTCTTGCGAAGTTAGCGGTCTCGACGACATTTACGCATCGGCGATTTTGCCCACTTTGAGCCCTGTTTTCGGCCAATTCCAGTGTACTGGTTGACAAAAATCATAACTATTTTGCTAGAACTGTTTTTTCTATCGAATGAGTACAAGAAACCACCCATTTACCGATTTCAACTATCCAATACGGTGGTCAGAATTTAGCAATTTTGCTAATTTCACACACATTTCAAAAGATGCCAATTTCCAAAAAGGGTCCAGAATAAACAAAAAAGACATTCCTGGCACTAAAATAACATTTCCTCTGTTCATTAGTCACGTTCCCATGCCCCTCTTACATTCTTTTGCTTTCCACTTTGAATTTTTATTCTCACAAAAAAATAGAAGATTTACTGTTACGCAGACTACTGCATTAGTGTAGAAATGGTATAAATAATATCAGCTCATTTGTGAAAGAATATTAGACTCACCAGTTGATGTGTATTGGACGCATAGCATGATTTGTTTACTTTTGAACTTTGGTAAAAATCTAACATTTTTGCTACTTTGAGCTCAATTTCAAGGTACTTTTCTTTGTAAAACCAGTCAAAATCATCTCAATTTCTGTAATATGTCTTCCATTCTATAAAATGAGACCAGGAAAACTAGAATACAACAATAAATACCATACGAAAATACAGTGCAAAGTCGCTGTTTTAATCCAAAAACACGGTCAAAGTTTTTTTTTTTTCTCATTACGCACTGTGTGCTGCAGGATTTTTTTTTATACCGCGCACACTGACAACATAGACCCATTCTTTCATGTGTAGGCCTACCAGCTTTCTCTCACTAGATTTGAGGGCGCTAGAATTTAGGCGTACTAGTACATCAAAAACCCTGGTGCGTAAGCCGCACTAGTACGGCCGAAACCCTGAAAGGGTTAATGCTTAAGTATAATTGTTACTTTACATTACCTCAAGTAATTAGAAAATGAAATGTAGCTGTTTTTGTAACTATCTCTAAATTGATTCATTCCTTTGATTTATGCAGGTAAAAATTTCTTACCTAGGTAGTAGGTTGGTAGACTGCAAGCACCCAGGGAGGTACTACCGTCCTGTCATGCGAGTGTAAAACGAAAGCCTGTGATTGTTTTACATGATGCTAGGATTGCTGGTGTCTTTTTTCTGTCTCATAAAAATGCAATTTCAAGTACATCTTGCTACTTCTACATACACTGAGGTCACACTACACACATGTACAAGCATATATTATACACATCCCTCTGGGTTTTCTATTTTCTTACTAGTTCTTGTTCTTGTTTATTTCCTCTTGTCTCCATGGGGAAGTGGCACAGAATTCTTCCTCTGTAAGCCATGCATGTCGTAAGAGGCGATTAAAATGCCGGGAGCAAGGGGTTAGTAACCCCTTCTCTGTATACATTACTAAAGTTAAAAAGAGAAACTTTTGTTTTTCTTTTTGGGCCACCCTACTTCAGTGGGATACAGCTGGTTTGTTGAAAGAAGAAAAATTCTTACGTTACCCTCTAAATCCTCCCAGTGAAGTATTACAGTTGAATATAGTTGCAAAATATAAATCACCTGATGAAGTTTTACAGTAAAATTCCTGTGAGCTAGTTCATATTATTTTTTCAATATTTTGAGACATTTGATTAGTGTGTATTTATGGGGAACTTTTTGTGAAAGAAATCCTTGCTTCAACAGGTGTTGGCACGAAGATAGACCCAACCCTCTGTCGAGCAGATCGTATGGTGGGACAAGTGCTTGGAGCTATAGGTTCCCTTCCTGAGATCTTCACGGAACTTGAGATATCTTACTTCCTTCTTAGGAGATTATTAGGTGTTCGTACAGAAGGTGACAAGAAAGGTGCCAAGGTGAGATGTACTGTATATTATATACTGAATTTTTGTAGGTTTCATTATTTGGTAGTGGCTAATACACCATAGCCATAGTTTACAAATCTGTTATTATGTGGTTACTAAATTTATGCCATCAAGCCAGCTATATATAGTTGCCAGTGCAGAAATCATTGAGGTTGTTTCACATTTAACAGCTATCACTGCAGTTTGTGAGCCTTTAAAATCCTCTAATGAGAGAAATTTGAGGTCTGTTCCTAATGGCTGTACATCATTTACCATTTTATAATAGACTGGAAGAACTTTACTTTAGGGATCCATCAGTATCAAGGAAAAGTGAAAGAAAAACATTTTAATAGGTAGCAGTATGCCTTCAAGTATCATTTCCATCTACACTACTATGTGCCAGGAATCTGGGCAGTGCATGTAAAGAATGCTCAGAATTTGATTTATTATAGCCATAACACTATTCTGGTAAATAAAACCATAAATTTCATCTGGGAATTTAGCCATGTTGAATGAAGTAGTGGCCTGACAAAGAAAACCCTTTCACTCATTCAGTCACTGTCTTGCCAGAAGAGTGCCGACATCACAGTTCAGATGACTTTAAAGAGCACAACATCCCAACTTCTCCTTTAGTGCAGTCCCTTTTACTTTGCACATCCTGCCAGCAGGTTAGGAATTCTTCTCCCCATTAGTAATGTGTATTGTAAAAGGCAACAAAAATGCCAGGAACAAGAGCTAGTAACCCCTTCTGTATAAATTGCAGAAAGGACAAAGTAAAAAATAGTGTAAGAAAGATGTGGAAGCATGAGAATGGAGGAATATTTAATATTGAACTGCCATTTCCTTAATCATGGGGCTGATAACCTCTACAACAAAAAAAAAAAAACTTAAGTTCACCAGATTGTGTTGCCATAAATCTTACTTGGCATAACTGCCCCTGTCAACTCAGGTGTTAAACATGCATAAAAATGTTAATAAAAACTGGGAGAGGATATATATCATAAATATATCAAGGGCAGCTAATGATGGGTTTGGTGATCTCAGAAGAAAATACTTCTATTGAAATACTGTATTATACTTTGCCCTTTAAGGATTATATAAAGATACAAGGATATATATAAGGATTATATAAAGAAAAGTTGCAAAGGTTAGTGGATGAATTTGGGAGGGTGTCTAAAGGTAGAAAGTTGAAAGTGAACATAGATAAGAGTAAGGTGATAGGAGTATCAAATGATTTAGATAAAGAAAAATTGGATACCACATTGGAGGGAGGGAGTATAGAAGCGAATGTTTTCAGATATTTGGGAGTTGACTTGCCAGCAGATGGGTTTATGAAGGACGAGGTTAACCATAGAATTGATGAAGAAAAAAAAGGCGAGTGGTGTGTTTAGGGATCTCTGGAGACAAAAAAAGTTATCCATGGAGGCAAAGAAGGGAATGTATGAAAGTATAGTGGTACCAACACTCTTATATGGATGTGATGCATGGGTTATAAATGCTGCAATGAGGAGGCGACTGGAGGCAGTGGAGAGGTCTTATCTAAGGGCAATGTGTGGTGTAAATGTTATGCAGAGAATTCGTAGTGTGGTAATTAGGAGGTGTGGCATTACTAAAAGTATTAGTCAGAGGGCTGAAGAGGGGCTGTTCAGGTGGTTTGGTCATTTAGAGAGAATGGAACAAAGAATGACTTGGACAGGCAATAAATCTGTAGAAGAAAGGCAGGGTAGGGGTCGTCCCCGAAAAGGTTGGAGGGACAGGGTAAAGGAGATTTTGTGGGTGAGGGGCTTGGATTTCCAGCAAGTGTGCATGAGCATGATAGGAGCGAATGGAAGCGAATGGATTTTGGGACCTGACGAGCTGTTGGAGTGTGAGCAGGGTAATATTTTGTGAAGGGATTTGGGGAAACTGATTAGCAAGACTTGAATCCTGGAAATGGGAAGTACAATGTCTGCACTTTAACCCTTAAACTGTCCAAACAGATCTATGTTCACATGCGTAGTGCTCCGAAAGTACCTCTACGTTTTTTTACATTTTCAAATATAACAAAAAAAAACGTAGATCAAAGTTTTTTTTACACGTTTTCAAATGTAAAAAATAAAAAGAAGCTCTACGTTTTTTTACATACTTTCAAATGTTGAAAACACGTAGATCTTTGTTTGGATAGTTTAAGGGTTAAAGGAGGGGTTTGGGATATTGGCAGTTTGGAGTAGAGATGTATCGGATGTGAAAATTTAGATATCTGCTGGTGCAATGTGTATGAGGGTGTCTTACTTATTTTGCGGATGCAGATGTGGATGTAAGAAATTGTGTGGATGTTCCGTGGATGTTGATGAGGATGTAAGAAATTGTGTGGATGTTGTGTGGATTCGGATGCGGATATCTCTTATGTGTGAGTGATGGTGAAAGTGTTGAATGATGAAAGTTTTTTCATTCTGTTTGGGTTTTACTTTCTTTTTGGGTCACCCTGCCATGGTGAGAAACAGCCAATGTGTTAAAAAAAAAAAACTTTGCCCTTTCTTCTCTGCAAGGTTATTTATCTTCTAAATCTAAAATATGTTGATGGTGTAAGTGGGAGGAGTTATGGACCTGAGATACCTTGCTAAGTTACACCAGTGATTAAAGTACGTATTCTGTATCTAGTTAGTCAAGGGGAAGGGTAACAGGATATTCATTGCAATTTTCTACTCAGCTTACACATTTTTCTTTCTTTACCTTCCATTGAAATTTCATATATGGAATTTCAATTTAGTGGAATTCATAACCCATCTATACTATGCAGGATCTTTTATTTAAAGTTCTGTCATAATAAGCTTTACAAGAAATTAGGAAAATTAATAAATTTTTTCTTAAAAGGTTCAAAAGCTGACAAAGAATGAAATGTTAATGGTTAACATCGGCTCCTTGTCAACTGGTGGAAGAGTTTTAGCTGTTAAGGCAGATTTGGCCAAAATTACTCTAACACAGCCAGTTTGTACTGAAGAAGGAGAAAAAATTGCACTATCACGTAGGATTGATAAGCACTGGCGGTAAGTACCAAAGAAATTCTTTCAAGGATTGCAACAGTCTGGACTTATTGTTTTATATGGTAAACATTTGTCCGTGTAGTAAAATATTTTGAACTTTAAATGAGCTCGTGAGTGTCTACCGTTTCTAATTTGTCTTGCACGCTTGCAGCAGTGGTGTAATAGTAATACAGAATTACACCTTATGAAATATTGACATTTTTGCTTTTTTGTCAAATTTAGATTGCATTTATTGTACCTGCACTGCTTTCAATATTAAATGTACTGAGAAATATATATTTCCTTTCAGTTTAATTGGCTGGGGACAAATTCGGCGAGGTGTCACCATAAAACCAGAGTAATGTTAACTTAAAATATATTATTACTAATTTAAATGAGATTTGATCAAGAGAAGGCACTATTTTTTTTTTAAGGAAATGTCTAATAATTTTATAAGAATTCTTTCTTTTCAAACATGTGTATGTACTGTTACAAGCTGCCAGTAAAATATTTTTAAAATTTATATTGGTAAAATAGTTTAAACAGTGTTGGTCTTATGTTAAATCTTAATACTGTTGATCTGCCTTTGCAAAAAAAAAAAAAAAAAAAAAAACCCGAGTGCCTAAATATTGAATATAATTTTACTATTAGATGTATAAAATATATATATAAATTCTCATGAGGTAAAGACTAATTTCAAACTGTATGGTACATTTTCATCTAGGTTTCTAATAAAACATTACCAGTTGTACAAGTGTTTATACTATCATCAAAGATTTTTTAAATACACTTTGTTTTAGAAAAGAGCTAGGTTTAATATATCTGATGCCATGTTTTAGACCCATGAACTTTAATATGAGTGGGCAGTGAGGGCAGATAAGCCTTCAGGTATATTCTGGTCTAGATCTTTGATTCCTTGCTTTCATGTAGGACGTTTCATGGTGATGCCAGCTGTCTTCGAAGAGTTTATTTGGCTTTCATGTACCTGAAGCACTTTTCAACCAACATGTAGCTGATTCTGGGGGTCATTGCCTCTGTAGCCTTGTCCCAGACCAGGCTGTCTGGTTGATGGAATGATCATAAAAATTGTGCTCAACTAAGGAGAAACTGACTTTAGGAACTGCCAAGTTTCCTCTTGAAAATAGGTAGGGTCTGTTGGAAATGCCCCATATGTATGAAGACTGGGTAAAGTCTTTGGCCAATTTCACTTATTGAGTTACGTCCTTAGTGTACTCATTGTACCTCTTTTCCCTGAAAGCATTTTGCACCAAGTGCTGAGCCTCTTGCTATCATAGGAAGAAATTTTAGTGCAGATTTGGAACCAATCTCATACAGCAGGCAGGTGTGTGTGTGTGTGTGTGTGTGTGTGTGTGTGTGTGTGTGTGTGTGTGTGTGTGTGTGTGTGTGTGTGTGTTGTGTACAGTGTTAGTGTGTGTGTGTTAGTGTTAGTGTTAGGAGTGAGTGGAGACGAATGGTTTTGGAGACCTGACGAGCTGTTGGAATGTGAGCAAGGTAATATTTTGTGAAGGGATTCAGGGAAACCAGTTAGCCTGACTTGAGTCCTGGAATGGGAAGTACAATATTTGCACTTTCAAGGAGGGGTTTGGGATATTGGCAGTGTGGAGTAACTCGAAACTGTCATATTTGAGCACATCTGCAAAGACAGTGATTATGTGTGAGTGATGATGAGTGTTGAATGTTGATAGTATTTTTTTTCCTTTTTGGGTCACCCTGCCTCAGCCTCAGGGAAATAACCGATGTGTTAATTTTTTTTATTTTTAACAGCTGTTTCCCACCGAGGCAGGGTGACCCAAAAAGCAAGAAAAACTCAAAAAGAAAGAAAAAACTTTCATCATTCAACACTTTCACCATCACTCATACAAATCACCATCTTTGCAGAGGCTCTCAGATACAACTGCTTAGATATCCCTCCAAACTGCCAATATCCCAAACCCCTCCTTTACAAAAAAAAAAAAAAAAAAATTAACATGTCGGCCGTTTCCCACCAAGGCAGGGTGACCCAAAAGAAAGAAAAAAAAAATTTCATAATCATTCAACACTTTCACCATCACACATTCATAATCACTGTCTTTGCAGAGGCACCCAGATACGACAGTTTAGATAGTCACTCCAAACTGCCAATATATTCCAAACCCCTCCTTTAAAGTGCAGGTATTGTACTTCCCATTTCTAGGACTCAAGTCAGGCTAACTGGTTTCCCTGAATCCCTCCACAAAATATTACCCTGCTCACATTCCAACAGCTCGTCAGGTCCCAAAAACCATTTGTCTCCATTCACTGCTATCTAACACACTCATGCACGCTTGCTGGAAACTCAAGCCCCTTGCTCACAGAACCTCCTTTACCCCCTCCCTCCAACCTTTTTGAGGACGACTCCTACCCCGCCTTCCTTTCCCTACAGATTTATATGCAACCACCCAGGGAGGTACTACTGTCCTACCCCTCAAGGAAGGCTCCTTGATGTTGGTGAGGGCCTCTTAATCTAGGGCATTAGATCTGTGTTCCAGTTCCCTGAATACCTTTCACATGCCCCCCACAGGCACTGCATAATCCTACAGGTTTAGCACTCCCCCTTTATAATAATAATAATAACTACCATCCTACCAAGTGAGTGTAAAATGGAAGCCTGTATTTGTTTTAAATGATGGTAGGATTGCTGGTGTCTTTTTTCTGTATCATAAAAATGCAAGATTTCAGGTATGTCTTGCTACTTCTACCTACACTTAGGTCATACTACATATGCTTGTGTGCTCCCCCATGATTATAATACGTCATAATAATAATACACATACATGTTCACGTTTATGTATACAAACTCATCTGAGTTGTCTTTGATTTTATCCTAGTAGTTCTTGTTCTTATTGCTTTTCCTTTCATATCCATGGGGAAGTGGAATAAGAATCTTTCCTCCGTAAACCATGCGTGTTGTAAAAGTCAACTAAAAATGCCAGGAGCAATGGGCTAGTAACACCTTTTCCTGTATAGCTTACTAAACAGAAAAAGAAGAAAAAAAATATATATATTTTTTTTTTCAGAAGTGAGAACATACAGTGAGGCTTAACTTGCATGTCGTGAAAGACAGGCTAACACACTTGTTGTGTGGTAATTCTAGTAGGGACTACAAAATTAAACTGTTGCTAGTTTACCACTCTGAAAATCCAAGGGTGTTTACAAAAAACAATGTGATAAAAAGTAAACTCAGTGTAATATAGAGGGCTAATAGTAGAGCTTGGGTAACAAGGTAGTTTTTCACTAAGTAGATATATGAAGTGGTTCCCCCAAGTGTGAAGCAGTACCTTGCAGAAAAAAATTCCATTAAAAGCATTTCTGGTAATGGATAATGCTCCTGCTCATCCTCCAGGCTTGGAGGGCAAGCAAACTGTGTGTCAGTCAGAGATTTTGAAGGCTTTGAGGCAGAGCCTGTAGTGAAGGATAATGTTTCTCTAGGCCAGTCCATGGGTTTGGAAATGGATGATGAGGATGTAAAGGATTTGGTGGAGGAGCATAAGAACGAGCTTACCATAGAAGAACTTCAAGACTCAAAAAAGAGCAGCAACAAGTGGTTGAGGAAATTACTTTAGAGGAGGAGGGAAGCAGTAAGGGGATCATTGCCACTGCAGAAATTAAGGAACTATGTTACCATTGGGCTCAAACACAGAGCCTGGTGCAAAAATGGCATCTTAGCATCAGCCTATTCAGTGACAATGTTGTTGACCACTTTAAAAAAATTTTGAAAAGTCACCAAAAGGAGACAACACTGGACAAATGGTAGTGAATCCCCATCATCTTCAGGTGCTACTGCACAGTCAGAAAAGAGAAAAAACACCAGATGGGCAGTTACCAGATGTTTTTATGGAATATGATATACATACTTTTCAAACAACATCTCTCCACCTTCCTCTTAGGCCATCAACACTCCTCAGCAAAGGTAAAATGCAGTTAAATTTTCATTTATTTCATGTATTTGTTGTTTTTATAGTCTTCACATGTGATTTTTATGCATGCAAATATTACTATACAGCTTTAAATAAGCAATATTTTCACTTAAAATGTTTTATAATTGGTAATTTTTGGGGGTCTGGAATGGATTAATTCAATTTACTTATTTCTTTTGGTTAAAATTGATTCAATATTCGTACAGCTCACTACTTGAACAGCCTCATGGAACGGATTAAGTTCGATTATCAAGGTATCACTGTACTAGAAAATAGTACAAGGAAGGAACACTGTTGTGGAAGATTGGCTGACCAAGTGCCGTCTTAAAAGAATGGCGAGGCAGAAATAGTTACACTGTGATGGGAATGAGTATTGAGTGTAATTCTACTATGAAAGTGCTGGTTTACTCTTAGTAAATGTACCTGAATTACTTACTCATTTAAAAAAATGGCTACACATCCTACTTTATTTAGGGATTTGGAACTATCATAGTGCATGGCTATATCATGAGACTGTGGTTGAAAGTGTTCAAGAATGAGCATAAGTTAGTCTTAGAGAAGTGAACTTAAGGGCATGAAAGGGGGGAAAAAAGCAAACTTGAATTGTCAAAGCCTCTCCATGACAGAAAAATAAATTTATTTATTATTATTACAGTACAGTATATTAAATTTAAGTCATATGATAGTGGATAGGGAAACAATGTGGCAGATGTTTCAAATATATTGCATAGGTAGTAAGGAGCTGCAGACAGTGAGGCTCAGGTTAGGATATATACTATGTAGGACCCTTATAGGTTAAGAACTTATTTTTGATTATAATAATACTGTGTAGGAGGGGGGATTATATTTCATTAAAAGCAGGTTTTAGACAGGGGTGTGTGATGTCACCATGGTTATTAAACATCTTTACAGATGAGGTTAGCACTTAATTATGATTATAATAATTTATAGGTAAGGTAAAAAGTGAATGTTAATTGTTGGGGAAGGTGTGGTAATAATAGATAAATTTGATACAGATGGAGTCATCACAATTGTTCTTTGCCAGTGATATGGCTCTTTTGGGAGATTCGAAAGAGAAGCTGTAAAGGTTGGTAGAGGAATTTGGGAGGGTATGTAAAGGATGGCTCTATGAATGTGAAAGATGAGGTGAACCAGAGTTAATGATGGGTAAAAAAATTGGGTGGCACGTGTGGAGAGACAACTTCATCCATGGAAGCAAAAAAGGAAATATACCAGAGTATGGTGGTACCAAAACTTGTGGGTTTGAAGCATGAGTTTTAACCCTTTTGGGGTTTCGGCCGTACTAGTACGGCTTACGCGCCAGGGTTTTTGACGTACTAGTACGCATAAATTTTAGCGCCCTCAAATCTAGCAAGAGAAAGCTGGTGGGCCTACATATGAAAGAATGGGCCTATGTGGTCAGTGTGCGCAGTATAAAAAAAATCCTGCAGCACACAGTGCATAATGAGAAAAAAAACTTTGACCATGCTTTTGGTTTAAAACAGCGACTTTGCACTGTATTTTCGTATGGTATTTATTGTTGTATTCTAGCTTTCCTGGTCTCATTGTATAGAATGGAAGACATATTACAGAAATTGAGATGATTTTGACTTTTACAATGAAAAGTACCTTGAAATTGAGCTCAAAGTAGCAGAAATGTTCGACTTTTTCCAAAGTTCAAAAGTAAACAAATCATGCTAATCGTCCAATACACGTCAACTGGTGAGTCTAATATTCTTTCACAAGTGCGCCGATATTATTTATACCATTTCTACACTAATGCAGTAGTCTGCATAAC